AAACTGAGACCGGAAGCCAAAGATCTATAAGAGAAGACAGAGACCGATCCGACCGAATCCACGAATCACTGAATCAGAGGCAAGTCGGCGCCGCGAGAGTCGCGAGTGTGATCTGAGAAGATAAAGACTTCTGAGTTCTGAGAAGATAGAAAGTAGAGACTAGTGAGTTGATTAGTTGAGACTTGAGATAGTGAAATGTGATACCCCCGGATTTCCGGATACGGGTTGACCAGGCTCACGCCCGATTACCCTAGGATATCAAATCAATTAGCAATTAACGAACACATAATACAATATAGAAAATAGGAATGAAAAAAATTTTACTGAAAAGAAACTAAATGAAAATCCTTTATTAAAAACTTTAGAATAAATCTTATAAATAAGAACTAGTCTGTTACATCCAACTTCTCCAATTATAATACAACTCGGGAATCCATCTGGTGGACCCCTAATCAAAAGCCAATACTGGAAAGCGAACAACTAAAAAGAAGTCCACTGCTAAACCATGAAGAACCCCCTACATCGTCGGTAGAATGAGTAGTCGTCTCTGCTCAGCACGAACAAGCTCTAAGACCTGGAACCGTCCGTTACCTGAAAAATAATAGTGGGTCAGGCCCACGAACAAGTTCTATCCTAACTACAATCCAAACAGAGACCCGATACGCAGATACATCCTAGACGTCTCAATCATATCTATATAGTCTGTAATAGATAAATATATATCCACACTACAGGACTCTCACTAACTATGCTGAGGGTCTCAACCTGAATAGAAGGTAACATGCAATACGCACCTGAGTGGGCATGACTACCTAAGCCTAACAGGGTATACCTCAACCAACATAGCTAGCTACGCATCCTACTGCATATACGCACCTTAACCGTCGACTATGAGACTCAAGCTCAGATCGCGGTACCATAATTTATATATATAAATTCCCATCCAAACCAATGTAATGCCGCTCAACTGATTCGTTGCCATGACACGACATAAAATTAGGATTTAAGTGTTTTAATTAAATCCCTATTCCAATTATATATATAAGTTCCTTCCAAATACAATGTTGAGCCGGTCAACTATTCGTTGCCAAAACACAACATATAATTAGGATTTAAATATTTTAATTAAATCCCTATCCTTCCTATTAACAGAAAATATAAACAACCATCCAATATATCGTTCAACTATTTTAGTTGACAGGACATGAAACCATGTAGGATTTAACTGTTTTAGTTAATCCATTCCGTATATATGAATGGGTTAGAATTAGTGTTTTGATCTAATCCGTCCCTCCGTATGTCACCATCCCATACCGGTACATACCATGCATATGATCCGTAAATGATGCAACATTTTATGCAGTACATCAAACACATCCATATAATCCAAATAGATAATAAATAGAATTTAAATAGTTCATCATCTATAATCCAGAATCCATCCATGTAACTAACAAAATAAGATTTAATAGTTCATCAAGTTAATTATCCAGCATCCATCCAAGTAATTGACAGAAAATATATATAATTAATTCTAGGCCAACATCTAATTAGATTAACAGAACCTAAGTATTAGTTCAGCAATCTAAGTCCAAACTATAACCCAAATAATTGCAGAAAGATGTTTAAAGGTTCAACAATTCAAATCCACGAGTTAAACCATGTATTGTTTAACAGTTCAACGACTAACATCCAGAGCATGAATATATCAGTTTTAATAAAACAATAACTCTATCATGCATATAAGTAAGTTTTAAAATCATAATATTGCCCAAGAAATTGCTAAAATTAATTCTAACAATTCAGTTCCTTTATGCAATACAAGACCTTAATTACATCCTAAATTAATTATTGAAACCCCAATTAACGTTTTAAAACTATTCAGAAACCCCAAGAGCCTAAACAGTTTCTGAAAACTTACAGTATGCATCAAAATTGAAAGAGCCTGCTCTAAAAAAAAAAATAGAGCAGGCTCAAACCAACATTGAGCCGGCTCCAAAAACTTTTGGAGCAGGCTCAAAGTGTTTGGAGCCGCCTCCAAAACATTTTGGAGCTGCCTCCAAAAAGGGAAAGCCCACTGTTCCGCTTCCTTCTTCGTTTCCGATGATCTGTTTCGACCCCGGCCACTTTCTACCCTTCAGTTGGTTTTTAAAACTGATCCTAAGGGTCTTATTAATACCAAATAGCATCCCAATGGTTTGGTTCGACAATTGAAATTTATTACAGTGATTTAAAACCTCTACCGATTCCTTATGCGTTAACATACAACTTGATCTTCGATTTGCAGACATAACTACAGGTAATACTAGAACATATGCAGATAATCAAAACTGATCTTAACCATCCTATATATATTCCTTGACATCCTAATCCCTTGTTTATAACAATACGAATTAAATCATTCATTAAAACAGAACCAATCTGTAAGCTTAAAATAAACCAAACACACAAGTCATTCAAGAATTGTTTTAAACAACCATATATATACTGATAATCAACTTGACATATATTTCGCATGCCAGATTAGATTAAAATTCAATTAAAATCCTAGAGACATCTAGGTATGCACAGAACACAGGACAAAGGGATAGAGAGAGAATAGAACTTGCCTTAACCGTCTCTGAATTTTCCGATGAAATCTCCGACGACTGTTCCACCTCTGTTGCTCTTGGTTTTACCCACAAGCCAACCTCTGCTCCTCCTCCTCCTCCTTGGTTCAGCCCTAGCCTAAGGCAAAACCCTAGACTTTCTCCCTTTATCTCTCTCTGTAATTCTCCTTGTAACTCTCTGTTACTCTCTCTATTTCTCTCTCTATCAACACTGTACGTATATAGGGTTCTCAACCTTTTTTGAAGACATACTACCGTATATATATATAGGCACTAATCAAAACCCTAAGCCTAATCTTAATCCACCATAGATACCTAATTGAGGCCCAGTTTAGTCGGCGTGAGATAGTAAGAGACTAAACCCTATTTTTCATTACAACTAGGAATATTCCATTAATCCAATTAATTCCATTCAAAAACCAATAAAACATTTACACAATTAAAAACTATTTAATTTAATTAAAGAAAACAAACATACAAAGAAATAATCAGACAAGTCAATTAAATAACAATTTATCAATTAAATCAATTAAAAATACAAGTAAAGAAAACAATCTATTTAAATCCACAAATCAATTCAAATAACCCGTCATTCAAATGCCACACATAGCCACATAAGCACTTAAAAATAATAAAATAAATACTGAAAACAATAAAATAAATAATAAAATTCCGATTATATCCCTTTCAAAACTAGGGGTATTACATGAAAGGCCCGAGAGGCTGAGAGGAGAGGCGAGGAGGGGAGGCGAAGCAGCAGAGTGAGTTTGAGAGGTTAGGTAAACTTAGGTTTAGGTTTTGAGTTTTGATAGACAAAATTTGTGATTTTAATTTTTAATATTTTATCCAATATCTGATAAATTGAATCAATTGAATAATTGATAATCTGAAATCTGAAAAAATAATTGATTATTTGAGCAGATCTTACAACGGCACAACCCATACTCCACATCCCATAGCGGCACAGCCCACAACCCAGTACTAGTAGCCCACAAGTATAATTATATATAATATATATATATCGGTTCGGTTCTAAAACCGAACTCTGAGACCAGAACCAGAACTGGTCTCAACGGTTCCTTATTTTAGGAATCGGAATTAGAACCGTGAGAACTGAAAATTCGGCTCTGGTTCTCACGGTTCCAGTTCCACGGTTCTTTTGTGCACCCTTATATGATTCATCTACTTGGGCTCTCTTCTTTTTCATCTCTCTAAACCGTAGTTTTATCTGTGAAAAAGAAAAAGAAAACTCTATGCAATTTTATTTAACTTTATCAGTTTGAATATTGACAGAGCTTTTGAAATGTTGAAACTGAAATAGCAAAGAATAGAGTCCACCATTAAGAATTACCCAACTTAGGACAAAATAAGCTCTCTTAGCGTCTTGACTAATATTGGTATTGGAGACTTCTATAGATATGGACTTGTAGAGAAAGATATAAGGTTGGGGGCACAAAAGTGTATGAAAACTGTGAACCAACCATAGGGTTGTGAGTTTTTGGTTTGTTTCATGCATCGGATCTAGGAAGTGTACAACAATGAAATGGAGATATGCACTCAAAGTTACAGACATAGACAATAATTAATATTATATATTTATAACTTACTTTGCTAATCAAATATCTGACATATATATATATATATGTGTGTGTGTGTGTTTCTAACTTCATACTTAGACTTGCATATATTTTGATTTAGCCCACCCCACTGAGAAATCCTGGATACGCCCTTGCTCGGACCCAAAAGATGATTGGGATTTTCTCTTTCTCATATAAATATTTTAATTTTTAATTTTTAATTATTTTATTTGGTTTGTTTCTTAATTCTAATATTTATTTTCAGCCTGGCTTGGCCAACTGGATCTATATCAAAATCGTGTCAACAAATGATGTTGCCGGGATCGTTGATTTGGTTGAGCATCAATGGGAGCATCAACTGGATTTCTGGCAGGGTCGGCTTCATTTGGAAATGTTCCTATTTATTGTGGGAAACAGTGCACTGTTTGGAAACTTAGTATACATGACAATTACGGGCCAAGTTCATGCCGTTGCGGTTCCAGGAGTAGGACATCATCACCATTTTCGCGTGGTGAGGTTGAAGTCGTTGAATGATCAATTAGAATATATTGTAGGTGATGGAACAGATTTCGTTTGTTAAGTAGCTTAATTTTTTTTCTTCAAAAAGTTTTATATGAATGTGGATTCCAGTTTATCTGAACCAGCACTACAAAGGCATATTTTTTTGTTGCAAGCACTATATTGTATTTACTGTGTTTGTGTGTGTTCTAAAGTGGTTTCCTGATTTAAGATATGTCTAAATATTCTCCCAAAACCAGATCTAGATGACCTGATGTGCACAATCTTATTGTAGATGAAATTCAAAAGAGAAAAATCAAATAAATTTAATTTAGAGAACTCTCAGAAACTGAAAATTGCAGCTTGTATGAATAATAAGGTATACATGACTAAGCTAATCAGAGATAATCAGCATCCAAGCTTTAAATGATATACATGACTAAGCTATTTAGCTCAATTGTTCAGAAACCCAAAAAAAAAAAACAAAATCTGTAAACCTTCACTTGGATGCACTTTTTGGTTGGCAGTGATCAACAAGGGCAGCACACTTTGAATTCCGTTATCGAGAACTGAGTGGATCATAATCAGAGAGCACAGAGAAAGATCAAAATATATGTCTTGTTTGATAGGTTTTCATGTAGTTAGATTTCCCCATTTGCTTCCAACATCTCCACTTTCTTCGTCAAATTTGCTTTTCTCTGGAGAAAAGATCTAAGAGTAGGAGGATCGAAGGGAGGAGGCATTGTGCAAGGGTTTCTCTCTGCAGGAGAACTCACCAAGGATTCCAACTTAAACTTCCTCTCCATCCCTCTCACTTTACAAGCCATTGTCTCCGAGCAAATTTTCATCGCTCGTGGAGGTATAGTCACTTTATATTTCTGGAGCGCTGCGTATGCATTTAACAAATGGAACATGTAGTCATACACATGCTCCATCCTTAGGTTCTCTTGAATATATTTGCTCCCTGCCTTTCCAATCTCTTGTGCCTGTTAAGTCACCATGAAGTTTTAAAGAAAAGTAACTAGAATAGTTTGTGCAACGAAAATTTCATATGAATTCGCACATATTTACATATGTATATTAGTTAGTTTTTTCAGATGCGTGATTAGATTTTCCATGCATAACACCATATTAGGATTTATTTGGCATATCTGAGCTCAATCTTTTCTGACTAGGCAGTGATCCTCTGTTTAATTCCATAATCCATACTTCTAAGTAACCTTACAAAATACATTTTCACTTCAACATTTCAGTTTCCAGTTAAAACTTCTTCAAGTTTAAATATAATGGCATTGACATGAAAACTCTAATACACTTGACATCAAAACTCTAATTGCATTGACATGAAAACCCTGTTTTTTTTTAAACCTTCCGGAAAAAAAGGGTACACTAGTCTAGTTTTAGGATAATGTGCCCTCATGATTGATAAGTCAGTTAAGTTTTTTTTTCGAAAGATATGAGTCAGTTAAGTTGAAATGGAAATAACTTAGTCTAAGACTTTATGCTTTCATATATATGCATATAACAGAGTTTTGAATAAAATTTCACTTCTCATATGAGTAGGGCAAGCAACAGAGAGACAGTACCTCTTCCATATGTTTGTTTCCCCAATTAACGGCATATTTGATAGATCTGCACATGTGGTTCTCCTTGATCGGCCAGTAGTGAATCATTGGCAGTAAACTTCTCGTATAGAAATCGTAGTAGTGAGGGGTTATAAGCAGACTCATAGAATCACAGGCTAGAATGTATTTTTCGCTGACAGACCATGCAACTCCTTCAACATAGATCTTGTATCTACATGGATTGATCCAAAAAAAAAATAATGTGATGAAATACATGAAAAGGAAAAGGAAGTTGAGAATGAAGTAAAAAATTCAATTACCTACCTATGAGTGCACTGCTCTTCTAACTTTGTATTATTGAATCTCGACAAGGATTCTTTTTTCCAAGCCTGCCATATAGTGAGCTATCAACATCCTTTTTTGGTACCAAATTGATTAATAAGAAAAATAATTTCACTCAAAGTCACTAGAACTTCTGAATCATATTTTTGGGATTATTAACAGACCAACACAGTCCATTTCTGAAGGAATTAAAGCAAATTATTTGGGCATTATTTAAAGATTTTCATACAAAGGCAAGGATGAAGATGATACAAAGACCCTTTTCGTATCTTTTCAGTAGCAATTAAATAAAAAATAAATAAATCTTCTTTCGAAAGTAAAGTCATTGACACTAGTATAAAAATTTTTAAGCACCATGCCACCAAATCTTCGTAGTTGAATTCACTTCATGCTATGCAAAACAGGATGGGACTCATTACAACAACAACACAAGGACTGTGGGAAATTGTTATTTATATAAATTGTTCATTCTCAGGCTAATTGTTACATAAATTTTGCTCGGATAATCTTAAATCAATGTGCTAACCACCAGTGACAGAGCCAGGATTTCAAGTGAGGGGGGGCACACTGCCAAAAAAAACAATACGGAGTACACACACACACACACATATATATATATAACAACTATAAAATTCAAGAAGACAAAGAAGAAGAAAATTGTTCAAATATAAAAGGAAAGAAAAATGAAAGAACTTTAATAGGAAATAGTTAAAAAGTTTCAATTGAGGAAGAGAAATTCTACTAAAGAAACTTAAGGAATGTGAAAAGTAAAAGAAAAAATACAAATATAATTTTAGGAACTACAAATTTGAGGGGGACACTATATAAATTTTTTCATATATATGGAAATTTTTAAAAAAATTACCACATATATTATAGGTTGCTGGCCAACTCAGGGGGGCAGGTGCCCCCCAGGCCTTCATTGGCTCCGTCCCTGCTAACCACTCCAAAAAAAAGTATGTCAAAGAAGAATTCTTTACCACGTTATATATTCGAGCATTCCAATTCTGTCTGCTTGTGGCATTGCACTTGAGGAGCTGAGATCTTATTTTACTTACTTCTACATTTCCTTTCCAGTAAGCATATGGTTCCCTCTCCTCCCATTGGATCCTACTGTTCCCATTTTCCAGGTCGATCTTCAAAGTCGTCCATGGCCTTATGTTGATCTCAGGCCTGCAAGACCAAATCAGAGATTGGTTACTACAAAATGTTGAACTTCTAACGGAGAGTGGATAGCAGTTTCAAAATTCCATTTGTTTAAACTGGTAAGTTGGCCGAATAACGGATTAGACACACAACGCATAAGTTGGTTTTATTTATTTTTTTATATAATTCCAAGAAAATGAATAATTTGGTGTAAAAATTCAAGCCAATGCCTATTCTGATTAATTAGATTGAAAGTTAATTAAACATTCAAGTCACATTAGATGTAATCCTCCTGAGCCAATAGTACATCATTACAAGTATAAATGTCATTGCACAGACCAAAAAGACTTGATATCAACTTAACTGGCTCATGTCCCCTTGCTTTCTTGCAACGCCTACACTTTTTTCTTTTTCTTTTTTCCTTGACAATACCCTAAATTGTTCGTTCTTCATTTATAAAAAGTAAAGATGGTATCAAGTTTAAAAACTTAGAACATACTGTCATATGAAAAAAATCACCCTAAACTTGATGCAAAGACTCACACTAGTTTAAGCCCTTTTAACACCAGTTCCAATGATGACTTGACCAGAAACTTTTGCACATATTTCAAATCGGATTTCTTCCCAACTCAAAAACAAGATTAAAGTTTCAAAGGTGAATAAGTCATGATAAGAGCAGTGCTTATAAAACATCAGTCTAATTCAATTGAGGTTAAAGAAGGCCTTACCAACCCCAGAAGGACCAATCCGGGAAAACAATATCCAACGTAGATTCATCTCCACAGTAATGAAACAATGGTGGTGTCTTAGTTGCATTCACTCCCCTGTAGTCATTTTTCTTGATATTGGGCTTGTCATTGCACTGAAACATCAAATCCAAGTCCGGTATCTTCCCCGGGTACAACCTTAGCAGCTGCAACACCCCCCATACTGTAAACACATCTCTTGTTTCATAAACTTCGCGATACTTCTCAATGTAAACTGTTCCATTTACTATCACTATTCTAATATCTGCAATAGTTTTTGATCTCTCAAGCATCGCCCTTGTAATTCCTGTATTCCTCCATGGCTTTAGATCTTCGTGGATCCACTGAAAGTATTCTGGACATGACTCAGCTGACGAATCCTCAACCTCATATGTTGTTGGATAAGTTGATGGGCACATTTGTGATGTGTTTGGTGAAGCACATATAATTGGGTACTTGATTCTCTTTGATTGTGTAACGAATGTGAAAAAATCCTTCCCAAATGAACCACCTGTAAAAATAGACTGGAACATAGACCAATAATCAAAAGAAACATACTTCCATGATCAGAATTGGTTCCAAGTTGAAACGAAGACATTCCCATAATCACCAAAAGCCATTTTTGCGCATCCAATTTGTTTGAAATTCTAAAATATGAATTCATAGAGAGTGTGTTTGTGTGCGTGTGTGATTTCCTTTTACAAGTATGGTTTCTGAATGTCAATTAATAGTTAGAAGGTGAAAACTGAAAGATTACTGAACTCTTTATTCTAATGATTAAGATAGCAACGTCAATATATGCAATGTGCAGTAGCAACAATAAGGAAATCATAGGTATATATTATATATACAAAATCAAAATATACAATGTAAGAAATTCAAAATTTTGAAACTGCAATTGTAACTTATAGCCGAGGAATGATATTAATTGTTACGAGCATTTCATAAGCCAGGTTAATAACTTTATTCCTAATGCTCCTAATTCATGTAAAGTTACAAGTTATTCCAAAAAAAAAAAAAAAATGGAAATTTCTTAGAACACAGCATTAAACTACCCATTTCCGAAGCTAGCTGACCTAGATTGACATCCTTACGCATCACTATAGGAAGAAGAGGGCGTAAAGCGAACCAACAAGTTTGTTCACAAATCCTTTGTGATATGACAGAACATTTTTATATTATGGCATGTTATAGCAACTTAATCGAAAGTGAACATAATAGGATACAAGCAAAAATAAAGAAGAATCACAAATAAAACGACTCCAAGAGAAGTGAAACATTAAGGTTTTTTCTGAATCCTTTGTCATATGACAGCACATTTTTATATCATGGCATGATATAACTTGAAATGTCACTAAATTTTATCTTATAGCAGCTTAAATCAAAAGTGCAAATAATAGGATACGAGCAAAGATAAAGAAGAACAACAAATAAAATGAGTCCAAGAGACTTGAAACATTACGGTTATTCACATATCCTTTGTGATATGATAGCACATTTTTATATGATCATGGCATGATTTTATAATTTGAAATGTCACTAAATTTTATCTTATAGCAGCTTAATCAAAAGTGCAAATAATAGGATACGAGCAAAGATAAAGAAGAATAACAAATAAAATGAGTCCAAGAGACTTGCAACATTAAGGTTATTCACATATCCTTTGTGACATGACAGCACATTTTTATACGATCATGGCATGATGTTATAATTTGACATGTCACTAATTTTAATCTTATAGCAACTTAAATCCAAACTGCAAAAAATACGATATGAGAAAAGATAAAGAAGACTCACGAATAAAATGAATCCAAGAGACTTACAACATCACTAGACTAGGAAGAAGAGGGCATAAAGAGAACTACTAAGGTGTTTCACAAATCACTATACAACACATTTTTATATGATCATGGCATGATGTAACTTGAAATGTCACTAATTTTTATGATATTGCAACTTAAATAAAAAAAGTGCAAATAATATGATATGAGGAAAGACAAAAAAGAATTGCGAATAAAACGAGTCCAAGAAACTTAAAACATCACTATATTAGGAAGAAGAGGGCATAAAGAGAACTACTAAGGTTTTTCAAAAATCCTTTGTGGTAGGACAACACATTTTTATATGATCATGGCATGATGTAACTTTAAATGTCATTAATTTTTTATCATATTGCAACTTAAATTGAAAAAGTGCAAATAGTAGGATGTGAGCAAAGACAAAGAAGAATCGCGAATAAAACGAGTCCAAGAGACTTACAACATCACTAGACTAGGAAGAAGAGGTCATAAAGAGAACTACTAAGGTTTTTCACAAATCCTTTGTGGCATGACAGCACATTTTTATATGATCATGGCATGATGTAACTTGAAATGTCACTAATTTTTATAGTATTGCAACTTAGATCGAAAAAGTGCAAATAATAGGATACGAGCAGAGACAAAGAAGAATCGCGAATAAAACGAGTCCAAGAGACTTACAACATGAATCCAACTGGTGGCAATAACAGCACCGACGAACAAGATAATCAGAACCAGAGAAGCAGTTGTTATAATCCCTTTCTTGAGAGCCTGTGTGATTGTTCTTGGACATATTTGTACATGTTCTCTCATGATCTGCTACTCTTTATTCTTCACAACCACCTCCAGATAAAATAGTCACTTCCAAATATGAATGAATTCCAGAGCATCTCAAAATACTCACTAATTGTTAGAACATTTGGTGGAAGACTTTTTGCTTCTTTGACCTTGAGTTTGTTCCAAACTCAAGACTAGCCTATAATCATGTCAACCAGAAAAAACCTCTTTGTAGTGTTACATTTGCCCTGTTCTCATTTAAAAAAAATAAAAAAATAAAAAAATTAATTAATTAATTAAATTAATAAAGAAATAAAAAAAAAATCATATTTTGGGGAGATTGAATTAATTGTTTTAGCCAACAGTTCCAGATTTAATGTGCATGCCATATGTGCACAGTAATAAATTGAATAAAGACACAAACATTCTACCATATATAACAAATTGATGTAATCACACATGTGTATACATACATATATATATATATAGAGAGAGAGAGGAGATTTAATTAAATTATTTATGATGCAGACTTGGATTAAGAGTGATTACCTTCATACCTCTTCTTCATTGACCGGCCCTGTAAACAAGGAAAGTAAATCTTAGACAATATCTCTGACATTCTTCTGGGGAAATATATAGAAAATAAAAAATAATAAAAATAAAACAAAACTTGTGTAAGTGACCAACCCAATATTTATATTGATCGCATTGTCATCTGAAAAGGGAGGATTTGATTTACGGTTTAGATTTTGTTTATTGATCACATCCGCCACAGAGAGAGAGAGAAAGAATGTCCCCTTGCACATGCACACACAGACACACACACAAAGGGAGAGAGAGAGTGAGAGAGGAGAGAGAGTCTTACTTGGCTTGGTTGTCCATTACGTATTTTTCGGTTGATTTAGATGTAAATAATTGTACGTTGAATATCCTGAAAATGAAAATAGAAGCAAAGCTAAAGAAAGCAAAAGGCATCAACAATACATACATCTATAACATTTACAAAATCACCACCAAATCAAAGACGCAATGTGTTATGTACAACACACACACACATATATAATAAAACGCACACAGAGTGCATGGTTGTGACATACACATCAACCTCACATACACACACAGAGACCTTTGTCATGCACAAAAGGATGGCTAGAGAAAATTTTAAGATCTACAACAGAATCTAAAATAGAATTTACACTCCATAAAAAAAAGGTTAATATATATATATATAAGTGTTACCATATAAAACTATGTTATAAATTCTTATCAACATGACACGCTAGAAAGAAAATGTGTCACTTGTCCTTTATCTTTATCTTTATTTTATTTTTAATTTTTTTACTTTTAAGAACAATGACAGAGTAAGTGAAACGAATAACTTATGAAAATGATATGTAGTTACTTGCACATAATTAAGTTTCTCATTATGATATTTAGGGAAAAAAAAAAAAGTATAGTGGATTATAATAATATTAATTTTTAGTGACATAAATAGAGACAAAATAATCCATAAATGTATTACATGATGAAAGAAAAAAATAAATGTATTACATAGGATATTAATTACATCAATGTATCAAATGGCTCACATTCATTAAACATAGGCTTTCAACTGTTTGGTAATCGTAAGAATAATTTTTTTCTTTTTTGAGTAAGTATTACATTTTTCATTTTCTAATACCCAATCACAGATGTCCATACTATAGTCAAATATTACATCTAAATTTGAATGCATTAATCACTCTGAATACGTGTAAATCTATATATTTGGAATTTGTTTGAACTAAAGGAAAAGTTTGAAACTAATTAAAAAAGCTGTGTGATTACATTAAATAATTATTTCATCAGATGCAGAAAACATGGAAGTGTCAGTTACCAATTTTGAAAAAAAAAAAAAAAACCAATTTTAATAAAAGAGTAATGGGAAAATTAAAACTTCACTACTTAATTTTGAATATTTTATCAATCTAATAGGTTTGATTACTAACTTTTACATTTTTTTATGGTCCAAAATACCCTCCTAGTGAATGAGGGGTTAACATACATGCCAATACAGTGAAAGAATTGCTCCTTGATTGAGTGAGGTTTGAAGGAAACACAATTTTTGTGAACGTACACTAAAAGAATGTGAATTTAAGATGAAAATTAATAAAATGAGATTTTAATTAAATAGTTGACATTTAAAGAAGTCTCGTTAAAGGGGTATGAATAGGCAAACTGGATAAAAATAGGCAAACTGGATAAAAAAAACTAGAATTTGATATCATTTGCACAAAATGGTTGCCTTCATCCAATCCCAAGGTTATGACAAAAAACAATAAAAAAGAAAACTAGTGTTTAACTGGAGAAAATCTAATTATTATTATTTTTTTTCAATTTTTTGTTTCATCTCCCTTTTCTTTCAGCACCATTCTCTACCCAACAACAACATTGGGCAGATGATGTTCTGGGAACCTCATCAGTCATCTCCAATTCCTAGCATAAGCATGAAAAATCTAAACTTTTAATGCTGCACTCACATGGTCCAAAAGTATTGCATATTCTCGAACAAATTATGCACTTCCCATTCTCAACCCCTTTTTTTTTTTTTTAAATCATGCATAGCCTCATTACTAGATTAAACCATTACTTACACTAACCACATGAAAGCAAAATGTCTTTGGGCAACCCTTCCACTGGTGTGCAACATATATGAAAAACAATTTCATCGTAACATAAAAAACATGGGTTGTTGGTAGAAGAAAAGTAACACAATACCTTTGACAAGTGTTGTGTTTTATCAAAACCAACAAATTTAGGGCTTGAATCGGTCGGTTTTGGTGAAATCAACACATCGCCCTAAAATGACAAGATCGGTGTGAAGGCTAGAGTGAGAAAGACAAAATTGAAGGGTATTTTGAACCATAAAAAAATGTAAATAGTGTTTTAGTATAATTTTGTAATTAGTTTCAAAGAGTTAGTAGTCAAACCTATTAGTTTGAAAAAGTGAGCATTTTTTAAAATATGCAATGTGTATGTGTGGGTTTTTTTTCACCAGTGTGACTCATAGTCAGTATTTGATAAAACATGGACTCTCTTATTTCAAAGTATTTAAATTAATGATGAACACATCAATTGATAATAATACCTATTCAATTTTTTATTATTTTTCAATTTTAAATTACTAACTTAAGTACACCCATTGTCCACTTTTATCATTCAAATTAAGAATCCATTACACCATAGCAATTGTCCGAAGAGGAAATGGTAAATAATTTACATACACTTTTAGGGGACTTAAAACCTCTACTTTAGAAACTAACAAAGTAACAAAAGTAATCTGCTATGGATTTCTTACTTTTTCAAGAAAAAAATATATTTTTTCTTGCTATCCAAATTTTGAACTCTCATAGCAAGGGTTGTATAGTTTAGTGGTATTTCTTCACCTTAAAAAATAAAAATTCGAGAGTTTAAGTCTTTATAGAAGCCTCGACCAAAATTTAAGTCTTCATAGGAGCAAAAAGTGAATGAGTGAATTTGTTTCTTGTCTTGGAAAAAAAAAAAATTTCCAAACTCAAAACCAGAAAAGCATACAAAAAAATAATTTCTATCATATGTAATGTTTTCTATGTCATTATTAGATTACCATTTACTTCATAGTTGGACACAGAGAGTTAGGAGTTGGGTGATAAATTGTACCCATTATTGCCCTAGCTAGGGCTTGAACTTGGATAAAGCAAAATCAATTGTCAAAAGTAACCAAGTCTTACTAAATAAACTAATTTTCGCTAAAATTAGCCTTGACAAGAATTGATATTAGCTGCCTATTGTTTTTGAAGTGTTTTTCTATACACTAGCAAAATTTACAAACATGTCATTCTCATTCACTTATTATCACATATCACATGGGTGTTTTTTACTAAATAACTACACCACATGGGTGCTTTTTACTAAATAACTACACCATCACATGGGTGTTTTTTCCACTAAATAAGGGATTATTTAACAATCTGACATCAACAATGAAATATAAGTTTTTTTTACTGGATAAATACGCTCTGCTCTGAAACTGAATTTTTTTTAACTGTATGATTTCAACAGTGACATGTACGTTTTTTTTTACTGAGTAACTGTTAGAATGGATATGCAACACTACAAATTAGCTTAAGCTTTTGCGTTAAAGAACAAGTGCGAACAAGCGCCCGACTTGGTATCAAAGCCAAACCCAGTTTACATCTAGGGTTTGCAAAATAACAACATTTTTCTGGTTTATGGCACCAGGTATATACAGTTCATTGACTACTGCATGAGTGAATAAACTCATACAGCCATTATTTAAAATTACCCAAAACAAAACAATTTGACAATCTAACTGGATGATTTAATTCCACCAGGTATAAGGTCCCAATAAAAAAACTGAAGATATTCAATTAGAGGCCTCACAAGAACTGAAGAACAAAATTAAAGACTACCCCCCATAAGAATTAAGAAGAACTATGCATAACTAAGCCATACACACATGATCAGGCTATTCAGCACCTCCGAAATATGCTAAAATTGTTCCTGGAAAATATGAACGACAACGAAAGCTTGAGGAGTCATAAGCCATAGTAGGGTGCATGGTGCATGGTGCATGGGGGCTTGTATCTGCGGGACCTTTTACCATGGAATTCATCTTACTCTTCTCCTATAATCCCTTCCCAGAGCAGGCATTGTTTCCGAGCAAACACCAACAACTGTTCAACAGATGAAACGTCATACACATGTTCATTTTTAGCTTCGGTTGGATTAATTTGCTTTTGGCCTTTCCAATCTCTCGTGCCTGACAATGAAATGTGATTTAGTTGGAAGGAAACTGAATGTGAACAGACTAAAGTCTAACACATACTCCGTATATAAAATTCCATTACTTTAAACATACATATCTGCATATTCATGTCACTCAGGTTTTATGCACAAATAGGTTCAACACGACGTAATATGGATCAAGGTAATTAAAAAAAGTACAGAATTTCCAAAGTTTAAGCTGTATCAGAATTCAGAAAATAGTTGTTTCAAGAGGAAAGGTAATATTGATCAAGGTAGAAAGATACTTATTAACAAGAATATAGAATTAAATTCTCAGTTGCAAATTCAAACATAAAAATTATGAAAATCTATATTAAACTGCTCTACACGGGTGAATCTACATATTATAAAACTGGTCCAAGTAGCTGAAATTTTCATAATAAGATGCAAACAGTATGGTTTGTTAACGTAATGCAAGTAACTTCTTCCAAAAATGTTCGTGCGAATTAAAAAATGTTATCAAACTAAATCATTTCACGTGAAGCAGATTCTATAATTACTAAAATTGATAAAAGGATAAACTAGTCATATATATTATTCCATACACACAAGTATACGTGTGTGAACACACTACATGCATGTCATTTTCTACATCCACAATAACATTTCCATTGGGAAGTTGACAACTTTCTCAAATTACGAAATTAACCTACCTAGAACCCTCAATCATGTTTCCAAACAATTAACATCCTAGTTCCACTACTGGAGAGTCATTTTGGACATTTCACTTACGGGGGGTCATAATTGCCAATTTCCTTTGAAGAAAATTTTTCTCAATTGGAGAATTGCCTTGTGTTGCCTGCAGCTCTTAAGCCCTTTCCTAATTAAGAACCTTCTTTCACATCACGAGTCCTCTGAAAAGTGAGGTTCCTCCTCTACACAGTATTAAGCACTTTCCTCGAAGTTACCTAGTCGCCGACAACTCATGCCCTTTCCGATTAAGAGCGATCTAATCATCAATCTTCTTCATCCTCGTCATCTTCTTCAACTCATCAATCTTCTTCAACCTTATCATCTTCGTCATGCTTTTGGAGAGAGATTTATACAAATACGTACATGTAGAGTGAGAAAGAGGGGTAAATGGTTGATCCTTGGACCAGTGTTATAATTTGTAGATTCACCCGTGTAGAGCAGTTGAATATAGGTTTCCATACTTTTTTATGTTTCAATTTGCAATTGAGAATTTAATTCTATATTTTTTTGGTAATAACTACCTTTCTAACTTGATCAATTTAACCTTTCTTCTTGAAACAACTATTTTCTGAATTCTAATACCAGTTTCTACCTTGATCAATATTACCTTTCTTCTTGAAACAACTATTTTCTGAATTCTAATACCAGTTTCTACCTTGATCAATATTACCTTTCTTCTTGAAACAACTATTTTCTGAATTCTAATACCAGTTTCTACCTTGATCAATATTAGCTCTCTATTAATAGTGAGTCTCAAAATAATAATAACAAAAATGTATGGCTCCTCCAAAGCCTCTATCATTTGCAGTAAAAAAATAATAATAATAAAATAACAAATAATAATAATAAAATTTTACTTATCAAAAAATAATAATAATAATAGTAGTAGTAGTAAATTATTTATCGGTAGTTTGATACTAGATATTATGCGCTGTTTCTAGTTCGGTAAGCAGGATAATATGAAAATTTTAATTATATTGACCTAATTAAAGTTGCCACCAGACAATAGAAATCAGTTCAACTAGTACGACCCATAACTCACCTCATATCATAGGAAGAAGGCCTCAAAGTTTAAAGGTTTCATGAACCAATTGTTGAAAGGAAGACTTCCCTTAAAGATCTTCAAAATTGAACTGTATTCATGAGCCCCTTCCTGCAAAAGAACATCCAAAAAAGGATCACAACTGAAACACACATTGTCACCACTTAATTTATAATCATTATCTCAGATTCAGAATACGATTAATCAACACAATTGCTCAAGTCACCTACTCTAACTTCAGCAAGGACCTTGGAGAATTGTATTAGTTCTAAGCAATGGAAAAGGTAATGGTAAAGATTAAGTTTTTACCAGTCAATAAGTCCATACTTAAGAAGAAAAAAAATTGCATCAAGTCATTGGGAATAAAGCACAGATGATGATGACGATCTTTTGGATCAATCAATGCACCAGCATTCACGGACTGAACTGTGTTTATAAGCCCATTTTAAACACCGTTCATTACTGTTTTCCTCAGTGACATCCTGGTTTAAAAGATTGGTACATAAAAGACAAGGAATTTGATTACCTGGTGGGACCAACATATAATCATCAATGGGATACAAATGAAAGTAAAATTCTTTGAAAGACACCCAAGGAAATATATGCAAGGACATACTGATGAAGAACCGGGCATAGTTGTTAAAGGCTCAAGGGCACTAAAGCGCCAAAGGCCTTCTGAAGCCTAAGTGCAAGGCGCAGTATAAGGCGCGAGCCTGATCGAAGTAAGGCGCATGTATATAATAATGCATAGTTAAACATATATTATTATATATAATCATAATAAAGCAATAATTGTAGTTAATGTTAGTGGTGAACCATAAATTTATAAATTTTGTCAAATATTTCATAAGGTTAAACAATACGATATATGGTATAGAACCTTTTAATTTAGTAGTCATTGAGTAAAAAAGAAAATGATACGAATAAATGATTAAAAAATACAAGGCGCGCCTTTTTTGAGCCTGGAACCTACTAAAAAGCATGAGCCTGAGGGCTTTATGTGAGCCTGATTGAAGGGGCCTGGCCTGTAGTACGTTGAGGCGTTCTAGCTGAGCCTTGACGAGCCTGGGGCTTTTTTGGAGCCTAGACGTGCCTTTAACAACTATCAACCGGGCATGGTCCAAGAGCTTGAAGTGCATGTGTTTCACCTTTACTATTGGAGACGTGGCAAAGATAGATAATTAGAGTTGATTTTCATTTAATATTATTGTTGTATTAGTATGTTCTGCTTTTAGGGATGTTTTAGTAACTTAGTATTTAAGGGTTTTATTTACAGTACTAGGATTTGATTAGATTTTTCCTTGATGCCTATTTATATGTGGGTTGGGAACATTGTTAAGGGACCTTTTTACGATTGATTATCGAATATTCATAGATTATTGTGATTTCTTCTCCCTCATTCTTCATCTCTTATCCCTCATTCTCTCTCTTGTTCTCTTTAAAAATTGTGATTTCAACGTGCACTTACCACGTCCTGCATCACATGCCTTTGGCAATCTCCTCCAAGGAGGAAGGATCCCAAGCAAGAATAGTGCCCAGTTTGAGGCTATGGCCTTGGATAGAGCAGACTGAAAAACTAGGATTTTTTAAGCCAACAACAAATTGTTGGGAAAGACACTGTTGAGTAAAGTACTCATCTATCTTTCATCTAATAAAAAGAATAAGTTTATTCGCTTTTGTAGATGCACCTTTTAAATTCTTAACAATATAAACTAAATGTTTGATGCAATCATCACACCATGCATATTCTACAAGCACTGAAATGGTAGAAAAAGTTCATATGAAAAACAATCTGCACGGCTAAATCTAGGGTAATGAAAATTACCTTAAGGTCTCGATAAGAGATCTCCTTGGTTGGGCATCCGACTGTATGTTCATGCCATAGTTTCAAGAATAACTCCAACAATCGCTTCCTGAGATGTTATTTCGATAAATGATGTCCAAAAAAAAAAGAAGAGGTAATGATACTGAAGATAGTGATAGAAATTCTTATGCCTTTGAACATATAAATTCTTAAGAGCATATGTGTTAGCTTACTTGCATAATGATGATTCAGTAGAAGGGTACATTGCCCCTTTTGCAGAGGTGCCCTGCTTTCTGCCAGTGGTTCCAAGGATGACCTCATGCAAGCCAGACTTATTCCAACATATTGAATACCTGCAGATGAAAGCATAAAACATTATGCCAATAAGACATAATTTTTACACCTAGACTGGCAAAATTAAGCATGCTACCCGCATGTTAAAGTAGTCAGAGCACTCTCAGAATGCTGAAACTCCTTTGGTGGTATAGGAGCCTCCCAAAATAGTGGCTGCCAATTGCGATAAACAAATTCAGCATAATATCAAATCACTTCCCACATCAGTAAGATGTTATGCACATTACAACCTTGTTCACTTGAAAAGGATTCATTAGCTTGTTTGACAATGGTATGATCCGATCATATAAAACCTGTCTCAACTGATCCTCTGCAACACAATTTCCAGATCTATTGCAGGATCTTCCAACAGTGATGGAAGAAAGGTAAACCGGTTGAAGAAAGTAAGAAAGCAAAGCTCCTGCAATAAGAGATAAAAAATAAATAAATAAATAAATAATAAAATTAAAAAAAAAACCTTGTTATTCAAGTTATGAAAAAAATCAGTGAGTTATTGCTTTGCATGCCAGTAGAACCACCCCCCCCTTCTTTTTTCCTTAAAATGTTCAATTGTTGAATTTATCTCTTACGTTTTTCTCTCTCCTCTTTTAATTCCTTAAAAGAATAAAAAAATTACAAACCCTAATATTTTTCATTTCAAAGTTCTTTCAATTTTATTTTCTTCTTATCCCCTTCTTCAATCAAACACTAATTTGTAAAAACAATACACATGTCAAAAATTAAATCACAAGGTCAAAAAAAAAAAAAAAATCAAAACAAAACAAAAACAAAAACTAAAGTTTTTTCAATCTTACATTATCAGTATATATGGTCTAAATAATAAAGCATAATTAACTAGGTAAAACTAAAGCAAGTAACGAACCTTGAACTCCTAAAACATTCCAACGGGCAATCTTGTCGGAGCAGCTCAAGGACAGTGTTGTATCTCCACGACCAGGCTTCCTTTGAACCATGCCCATGACTTGGTCACAACTACCTAAACATGAACAAATATTAAGTACTTCAAGTAAGATAATATCCACCTTTTTTCCTGAGAATTAGTACACTATCCTGGGAAAGAATACAATTTAATTACAAAGTTATTCAACAAAACACAGAAAAGGACAAACTATAACCACAAAGGTTGATTAATAACAGTTACACAATTGCAACCAAAAAAAATGTGCCACGAGAACACAAAGAAAAGATGAGAAAATGAAATTTGCCTTGAAAACTATGAGTATTTGCCAAAACTTGCTAGTGTTTTTCCAAAAGTTCTTTCCCTGCATAAAATAGGACTTGCTTTTCTGACATGACTATAAATGCTGCAAGTTAAAGAGGGAGCACACAACAATCCAGTGAAAAGATAATTCACAGAATTCCAATAACTTATCCAAAAGAAAAAAAAAAGTATTCAACCAATTTTATTCTAAATAAGTACAAAGAATGGGGAGAAGTATATATTCAAACTTGTAAGTTAAAAGAGATAAAAATTAGAGAGTTTAAACATCTGAGGTGAACAGCAAGTGAGGAAATGAGATCTTATTAAAGATGATAAAATTAAAAGAACATGAAAAGGTTATTTAAGAAGAAATTTATAAGAACACGGTAACCCTAGGGAGATCAGGAATTAGAGAGTTTAAACATCTTAGGTGTACAGTGAGGAAATGGGATCTTATTAAAGATGATAAAATTAAAAGAACATGAAAAGGTTATTTAAGAATAAATTTATAAGAACACGGTAACCATGGGGAGATCAGGAAAACCCAATTTCTTTCCAGTTATAAGGGTATATAGGTTAAAAATGTATTGAACAACATAAAAGCAAGAAGAATTCTGAAACCAAATGGCATTCCCATTAAGGCTTAGAAGTGTGTAGGGGATGATGGCATTTACCTTAGGAAGTTCAAATCGGATTTTATTCAACCATATACTACAGCTGGTTAAAGATAATTGTTTACACCACTCTTGTGGTATTCAAACAATCCAATAAATGAATTCAAAAGGGAAAAAATAATAATAATTTGCAAGATAGGTGGTACTTCAAACGCTATATGAAGAATATATAGGCCACATTTTATATCCAATATTGGCAATAAATTCCACACTAGAACTGATAGAGAGAATAATCATAACACAAACCACATAAGATTCAGCATCCTGATAACATGAGAAGGAGAAAAGGAGGAAAAATAATTTTTGAGATATGCCATTACCATTTTTCATCAAGGAAGCCTCCAAAAATTCATCCATGGAATCATGAAATTCATTCATGGAGGACAGTGGATCCCCTTCTCTAAGGGGAATATTCTGCAAAGTAAATAACTGTGAACTGAGCGAGGCACTACCACCTATGGGAAACAAAGATTACTTACACTGCTTAGGCAACAAGAAAATAAAAAGAAAGAGAGAGAGAGCTCTATGTTAATACAATCACAAAAAGAAACGCAAGAAGTCACTGCTACTTACATGGCAACTGTGATATGTACAAATGTAGTTGCCAACCTGCTCTCATTTTGTATTTTCTTTGGCCAAGGCCATCTGTGTCCAAATATAAAACCAAGTTTGTCGCATCATCACCATGCAACTGTATGCTTCCATTATTACCACTATGCTTATTATAAATGTTTGTAAGACATTGAATCTCTGTATAAAAGTACCTGGTAGGATCAAAAACATCTTTTAGATCATTTATTCAAGAATTACAGGTCTCCACTTATTTAGATTAATGTGCATGATGCATCTCCAAAAGTTTTGTCAGCACTAAACTCTAAAACTTCAAACAATAAAACCCTAATAAGGATTTCTTTTTGCATGTTTCAACTAAGCCACTCTAATTGAATGGCTGAAATTCTCTTTGAAAAACATAGAGTAACATGCTTAATTAACAAAGGTATAATAGTAGGAAAGAGTACAAAGAGACGTCACAACGTTTAAACTCACTTCACATAGATTATGAAGATATTGTTGCTGCATGGTTGAAATTCACTTTGAAGATATTGTTGCTGCATGTTTATATGAGCCACATCCAAAAAACTGTCTAACAAATTACTAGTCCCTTTGAACATAACCACGCAATTCTATATGTTGTAGAAACTGTGAATTACCTATCAAGTAACAATGCTCTCCAGCCTCTCCTTAAGTTTTATTACAACTAGAAAAGAAAAAAATCACCTTATTCGTGAATAGAGTGAGAGGAGAGGAAGCATAGCCTCAATTGAAATACAACCTCAATTCATAGACCATACAACACAATGACCAAATAAATAGAACAAATTCTTAAGTAAAATCATACTATAAAGAAACATAACCTCAATTAAAATTCATAGACCAAACAACAGAAAAATCACACTATAAAGAAACATAACCTCAATTAAAATTCATAGACCAAACAACAGAATAACCAATCAATTTAAAATAAAAATAAAACAGATTAAGCATTCACTAATGAAGAAAACCTCATTAGAGCTCTCCGAGCGATGATTTCAGCATGAGAATCATTCACAACATCGCCTCGCGGACTTAGAAGCGAGCGCCCAATGCATTTCGTCCCCGTTCCCAAAGCAACCACTTGCAATTCTGATTAGCATACAAATACCACTCAATAGTGAGAAAGAAAGAGAGAGGTTTTCAAATTAAAATCGTAAATTCCGCACAAAGTTCTGGAGACCCAAAAAGGTAACTCATTCGATTGCAATTTTTTTCTTTGTTGTTTTTTTACTTTAATTCAGTTTTTCTATAACGAAATGGAGAGAGGGTGGTTTGCAATTTTTTCCGTGAAAACCAGAACAAGAAAAAACTATGAGATTGGAAATTTTATTGGGTGCTTGTTGAATTCAATGAATAAGTTTAGCTGAAAACAAATGGAGGGGAGAGAGAGGGTTTGCAATTTTTTTCTGGAAATCCAGAACAAGAAAAATCATTAGATTGGAAATTGTCTTGGGTGTTCGTTGATTTCAATGAATAAGTTTAGCAGAAACTAAATGGAGAGAGAGAGAAGGAGAGAGAGGACCTTGAGAAGGGGAAGAGGTGAGAAAAGCAGCCAAAACGGAGACTTCTCGACCCTGAGGCTTCCCTTTCTTTGGTAGAGAGTTATAGACTGAGAACACCGCGTCCGACACCATCTCTCCCCACCCTTTTCCCGGCGCCGGCGCCGGCGAATGCACTTGAGAATGCACTTCAGAGCTCGATGTAGTCATTCTTCAACTTCAGAAGTGACAAGATTTGGAAACAAAAGAAATATTTGAAACAAAAGAAATATATGGTTAATTAAAAAAACATTTGGGGGTACGTAGGATAATTAATTGTTATTGGCTGCTTAATCTATTTTATTTTGATTTTGGTTTGGCTTTTGGGTTTATATTATGAATCATTGAATCTTAATTGAGATACCTTCCAAAAAATATAGGGTTATTTTTAATTTTTTAATAGGGTCAAAAATAAATAAATTAGCAACCATCAAAATGATCAAATGCTATATATTCTGGTCCACAAATTAGACTTCACATAGTACTTGAAGTTCTTTTCTTTCTCATATATGTTTCAAGTGATTGAATAAGAATCTCAAAACACATTTATAAGTAACTAAGTTTTGGATTAGTATTTTAAGTATAATTAATCAACTCAAATATTAAATTTTTATTTATTCATTGGTAAATATTGTCACATGAAATAATCTCTTTAATACCATTGTCACCCCCTTTCTTTTTCTTTTTTTCTTCCTGGAAGGTAAGGCAGATACATATATATATATTTAAATGGTATAAGTAATCGCAATGCAGCTATAAACTCATTGGTCACCCATTGAGTAGTTGACTTTTTCACTTTGAAAAGAATTATTTCCAATATTTACAGGTGGTATTTCGATCAGTGGACAAAAACAAAACACTTAATTAGCTTTTATAACAAAGAAATGGAGAATTTTAAAGAAAAAAACATAATTATCCATTAATAGATCCTCGAATATTATATACTTCTTCAATACTTACATATTCACGTATTTATAAGCACCAAAACCATACACAATCATGATATAACAAGAACTGAAGTGATGCAAGGAACACATATCCTCTTTAGTCTTTTACATATATATGTCCTAAACAAACCCAAATATTAATAACATAGATTACATGTAGAGATCCCATTGCAGCAAATAGAGGGAAAAGAAAAAGGCCGAACATTCAAGCAATGGAGGCTCCGAAATAGACACTGTAGAACACTTTCAGCCATACTTAAGAGAATTTAAGGAGCTTTTAGTTAAAATGGAATAGGTATCTGGTTCTCCTAAGAAGCTCATGTCATTGTTGCTCGGAAAATCCAAGAGCATCTGTAATGCTGTGTCTGACAAATCCTCCAACACATTGGAGCTTGAAGAATCTGAACCACCGAAAAAGGCTTCACTGTAGAAGTGGCTGCTCTTGAATTCTTTATCTTCATTTCTACTGGTTCCGGTGGCAGAGGAAACGGTTACATGAGCGAGGCCCATCTCCGTCGTGGTCCCTGAAACGGATCCACATTTTGTTGATGAAGATGCTTGGGCAAGTGGGCTTTCGCATGCAGTTATCTCATTTTTCTTGAATTTCCGAAATGATTCTCCAACTTCAGAATTCCATATGCGTAGAAAGTGGTCGGAACCAGTTTCTCGTAAAGGTGGTAGTCTGAAGAGTGATGACTCCCTCGAGAGGCGAGCCTCGGCTTCAAGCCTAGCACCCTCCCATTGTGCCATGTGGCGGGTGGATTGGGCAAGTGATTTTGTAGCTGGTCCATTATAAGGTTCATGGGTTTGTGGGTCAATGCCCATGCGAAGCAGGCGCTTCTTCAAGTGAGTATTCCACAAGTTCTTGATCTCATTGTCTGTCCTTCCTGGTAGTTGGGAGGCAATCACAGCCCACCTAAATATTGTCAATTCAGTATTTTGTGAGTAATAGCAGCACTATCAAATTTTAGAAATACACCGAAAGAGTGAAAATTTACATTAAAGTATGACACAACTTTAAGCAACTAAGACAACGGTGACAATCATCCATGTTAGTGAACAAATCACTCTTAATTGAATATTAATTTCTTCCATCATGAATAATATTATCTGATAGCAGCAAAGTGTGTAAGTTGAACCTTCAAATTTGACAAATTACACGATTATAATGCTGGATTTGAAGAATCCTATGAGATGTGATGTATACAGTATAGCCAAAGTCAATTTATTTAGGAAGAGGTGATTGAAAAAATAAAAAATAAAAAAAGAGAGAGAAGCATGCAATGTTAGTATGATTACTTGCTGATCACTATGTCCAGGTATGTATGCACATAGAAGGAAAAAAATATACTCTAAACAGTATTGCAGAAATTTAGATTACAAGTGAGGATTCTTCAGTTTATACCATTTGTTTCATAGAAAATATTTTCTTTGAATAGACTAAACATTCCATGATTACTTGCTGATTCAGAACACAAGTCTAGCAAGATCTGCTGTCTACAGTAGTTTATGTTTTTTACTCAGAACATCGAAATAAATTTCACAAACTCGTGACCTTCCCTCCCCCAATCACACAGCACATGCCCCATTCAAAGGCAATCCAAATTAACATTTGGTTAGTTTCTATAAATGATATCTAAATCCAAATTATATTTTATATTTCCCAAGTAAACCAAGATCATATACATACATCCAATTAAATCCTACTAGACCTGCACGTGGTAGCCTTTCTTTTTGAAAACATACCAATGCGCATGGATGACTGAAAAGCATTTCCTCTGAATCCAAAAATTTCTATGATATGAATTGCAGAAAGAGGAGCAGTTTGCCTTTGTAAGTGATGATAGGGATTGCAGTGTGTTTTAAAAAGTTGAAATTTGGAATGTCAATAACAAGGCAATTTCATGTGTATCATTTCTAATGTATGGTTCTACAAATGGTTACGGTGACCATCAGGCTGTGTAACTGTGTTTCGACTTTTAACCAATGCTCAAGCTTCAATTAAGCTTTTCCTCAAGTTTATGCTACCGGGGTGACAAAATTTTTGAGATACCCATCGACATTAAAAATCAGGTTCCCTGTATGCTGCTGCATATGTTTATGTGCTCTAACATAGAGAGAGCAAAGCTCATTCCAACCAAAGGGAATAATTCTGATAGAAGAGCCACACACACAAAATAAAATCAAGTAACAAAATGATAAATACCTGTTGCCGAGAATGCCATGCAGCTGTATGACGAGTTTTTCTTCTTCAGGACTAAAAGGACCGCGTTTGATGTTTGGCCTAAGATAGTTGGTCCATCGAAGCCGGCAACTTTTTCCACAGCGAAAAAGACCTGTTAAAACAGAATCCTCCATAATCTATTAAATAAAAACTATTTTTTTTGTGCCTTGTCCTTTTTCCTCTTTGAGCATCCAGGTTATACTTGCATATTGCTACAATTAATCCTTGGAAGATTCATTGGGTGGTAAGTTCTAGTTTACAATTATAATTAGTAAGACGGACTCGCAAAATTATAAAAATGTATATCAGGAAGCCACGGGCACAATGAAAATTAAGGATAGGACTCGTAAGAAGTGGCCAGGGTACATCTGCATCAGTGATAACATCTAAAGACATTACAGTAATTTCAAGCAGCATGTATAGAATTGTTTACAGCAGCATTTGCACATGTATGCAAGCGCGATCCTGGATCCTCTGCTGTGTACAGCACCGTGTTATAGGGTTTTTCAACAAACTTAAATTTGTTTTCAACACATTAAATCTATCTATTTCAGCCATATTTAATGTGTTGAAAATTTTCTGTGTTAGAAAAATAGAATAGATGTGTTGAAAAAAGAAGTAAATGTGTTGAAAAACAAAATTACTGTGTTAACAAATTACAGCACCATTACAGCAGAGAATCAGGGTGTCAGCACATGTACACTACTGGCTCTTGCTACTTGGAACTCTCTCACAAGTCTCAACGTATACTAAAGTGTTGTTTCAAATTCTGAAAACCAAATTAAGTGGTCTTTCGTAGTCACCATTACTAAAATTACTATGTATGCACACTAATGCATCTCAACCAGGACTTGAACGACTGAGTCCTGCACCTCTCTAAAGATGGTGGCAAGAGATGACAGTCAACCTAAAAACTGGCATTTGAAGTTCTTTGAGTTGGAGCAGGTATGCGAAAAACAGAACAGAAATATGAAAAGAGATACATTAATTGGCTTGGATTGGAGCTGGCATTTAAAGTTCTTTGAGTTGGAGTTCGAATTTAAAGTTCTTTAATATTTATGATGCTTAATATAAATATGAGCCAACTACAAGGGCTCATTTCACAAATAACTCTTCAGAAATTATATCAAAGGAGAGATTGACCACAATTTTTCAATATGTTTTATCTCAGCGTAACCCTTTAAATTAAGTACCAACAAGTTTTGCACAAACAACCTCAAGCGCATCTAAAAAGAAAAACACACAACATAAATGATGTTTTAGTACTTGGTCCAACCAAACTGGCCACATTAAGCACCACAAAAGTCAACCACACAAGTGACACAACATTGCTTGCTACACTATTAGCACACAGTGCCCGATGAAGTGATGCACTATCAAAGATGCAACAAAACAAAAGAAAACAAAAATGTAAGCGATGACTCCAGTGGCCAAAGCACACATGGGTCTTGTACACTCTCAAGTCTTAACAATCCAATACTCCAGCAATAACATTAAATCGAGATTGCAATAATTATGTGTAGGTGTTGCACTTTTAATTTAATTGTGCAACTCAGATATAATATATTGCATCCTTAGTAAAAATGTGTTGCATGAGTGTTACATTGTTGTTGTTTTATAGGTGTTGTACAGGATGATGTAGCATATAGTGCATTTTCAACTTAAATACACTAGATGCTACCGAACCCCATAGTGTGCATGAGAGGATTAGTCCAAGCACACCTATGGAAGTACGGATCGCCTTCATCGGCCAAACTCACCGACTACATAACTCCAAACTTCATACATATATATAAGGGCTAGCCCAATGCATAGGCTTCGCCATTGCAGGGTTAGCGAGGGTCAGATGCAGGCAGTTTTACCGGTTTTGAACCCGTTGTGTCCTAATGGAGTAACCTTACCATTCCGTCAAGTCCACGACATAATACATTATACAGAATGAGTTAACTCAGTACATTCGCAACATTTCTGAACTGAATAAGAAAAAAAAAAACTTGAAATAACCCAAAGATTTGAAAATAATCCCTGCCACCTAGTTAACTTGCAAACTCGGCTCGAAAAACGACTTGACTCAGTAGAAAAACCAAATTAGAGAGACAGAATAGAAAGGCAAAAAGAAAGATCGAACCTGCGAGTTTAGGGAGAGAACGCCAGCTTCCATGGCCGTTCTTGTTGATGTACTCAATGAGAATCTTATCTTCTTCAGGAGTCCATGGCCCTTTCTTCAACCCACTCTTATCACAACACGGTTTTCTCCCCATTAATTACTCTCTCTCTCTCTGTGTTTCTCTCTCTAAAAGATCATCAATAGGGAACTACAAACAAACAAGTTGTATGCTTAAAGGAGAATGTTTAGAGAGAGAAAGTGTTGGTGTAATTTTGTATATTGAATATCTGATATAATGTCGTACAGAGTGAGCAGAACAGAACAGAACAGTGATAGAGATGAGAGAGGAGGACGATTCGGCGATTTTGAAGCCGGCTTGGCATTTAATTCATGATAAATAAAGTGTTATAAAATTCTACACGGCTATACATAGGACCATATATAGGCACCGCCAATAAAATTGAATCATTGATTCAATAGAAGAAGAAAGTTGAATTTAATGCGTGCTTTTTGAGGTACCCAAATAGATTCACATTGATCAGCTATACATATATATATACATACACATATATATATATATATATATATAAAGAGGGAACTAAAGGAGCTTTTGAGGTTAATTACACAGCGATGCCCACGTAATAGATTGGGTGAGTAAATTTTGGGTGGGACACTCCTACCGGCCTATCACGTTATTGGCACTATAACTTTATGAAAATGAATCATATCACCTTCTTATCACTATTTTTACACGTTAGATAGGACAAAACTAGAATGCTTAAACAATCTTAATATAATTTCGTCCTCATTAACTCTCATAGAAGAAATCGATAAATTAAACCATGATGTGACAATTAAGGAATCATTTATAAATGATGACAAGAGTACAAGTGAAATTTTATCCATTCAGAATTAAATTTAGTGTAGATAAAATTTTAAATAAAATTAACACATTTTCTTACATATTAAAATGAGATCACCGAATCACATTGGCGGTAATAATTTCTCGGAAAGGAAGTGAAAGTCTGGGGGACGGAGAGGGAGAGAGTGCTGATATATCAAGTGAGCGCAAGAAAGTACCATGTGGTAAGAAATAAATGCGAAGGAAGTGAAGAGAGAGAAAGTTAAAGAGTGACACGAAAGAGGAAGAGCACTAATGGCAAATTCAGAAGGAAAAGGACATGTTGAAACATTCATCTGTGTAGACCTATAGAGGGGTATTAATGGTTGACTGGGTGAGTGAGACAATGCCAGAGAGTACGGACTGGTCGTATGTATATAATAAAATGGATCACCTGTATCTTTTGTTAATTAATTTGCTTACAAATTTCAAGTTTTGAATCACTACATCAATATATATATATATATATGTAACTGCAGACAAGGAAATGTGTAGCCGAGAAGAGCCACTTCTCATCTCTCAACATATATCAACAGAAATTCAAAATTGGTACGAATATCGAACCAACCAATGAGATAGGTAAAAGCCGGAATTAAATTCATTGTCCGGAAAAAAATTGGACAATTATTACTACTTCGACAAAAGCGAATAAATTGACAAACATGCATTTCTTTTGGATTATACATGATTTCGTTATTTAATGCAAGGTGCCAAATATGGGAAAAGATAGATGTTAGGAACCATAACCTGAAACTGGGTCCAGGGTTTTCGGGAAAGAAAGCAAATGTTGTGGGAGCCATTGAAGAGTAAAAACCCTGTCAAAATGAACAAGATGCAGACTGACATGTCTTTGACGGGTTCATACAACAGACTTGGAAGAAACTTTATGGCTCGCCGACATGACTTTGAATGTTTTTACAACAGATTTTGAGGGTAAAAATTAGTAATAAAAGCTATTTAGGACGAAGAATTTGAAGAAAATGAGAAGCTAAAAACTCGCTCCTAATTGAGTGTGTCTAACAGATGGGGAGCTTTCAACTCTCAATTTCGTTCAAATCGAGCAATTTCTTTGCAAGACATGATCATGCACAAAAGAGGAGGCAAACTATGCACTTCCGATAACATTTGAGACCATAACACGACAGTATACTTGCAGTTAGAGTGGTCATAAATCAGATTGAATTAAGTATCAATTCTAATTCAATCCACTTCCAAGAATTAGACAAATCTTAATTTGCCAAATTGACAGTTTGAATCCGCAAATTAAGTTTTATTTAAATTATCCATTATTATTTTTATAATTTATATTATTTATTATTTATTTATCTTTTAACCATAACCAATAAATAAAATTTATATTTCACAGATCGGATCAAACTCGCGGATCGGATTGAATTTTTAACAGTCCAATCCGTGATCCGATTCGTGAACTACAGATTTAAATTTTTTAAATCCGTGATATGTGGGAATAGTAATCCGATCCAATCCGATCCGCACAGATCGGATCAAATTCGTGGATTGTTTGTCCACGCCTATCATGCGTACGTTTCCTGAAAATTTGAGACCATAAAATGATGGTTAGCGTACGTTTTAATGTCAAACGGTCAGTTTTAAGAACCTTCATTGTCTAACTGCCAAATCCATGTTATAAAACTAGAAAGTAACCAGAGGAGACGATGAATTTTACACAGAAAGCATACATATCATCTTACTCCAAAGAACGAGAGACAAAGGAAGAAAACGTACATATCAATAGTGACCAAACTAGTCCAAGTTAAATATCACCAAACTAGTTGGTTCACAAAACCAAAGACGGTCTGCAAATTGAACTCATCCTATCTCAAAATAATCTAAACCCATTCTAGAGTTCCTCGAATCCTGCCAAAGTTTAAGGCCATGAAAAGCCAGAAATCTAAGAATAGCACTACAGGGGTTATGCACCTAAAAACAACCAGAGATCTTCCGTGACAAACGCCATTTTCAGAATGTACCCTCAGATGCTGAGTTCTGTACCTTCTCAAGGAGGCAGCCTATCAACTCTGCAAAATAGGCAAATGAAACACTATGAAAGCATTAGTTGAGATATTAATATACAATAGGACATCCATAAAACAAAGGTTAAGTTGCATTTAGGCATATGGATTTAGATGAAGGAATTTGAGGTACATTCACAAATACATAAGAGAATTGACAATTAATGTGGGTGTTTTTGGAGACCCAAACGATGAGGATATAGGTAGAGGATATATACTAGGAATATTTTGAACAATTAATCCACCTTGGCATGGATTTCAAAACTCTCCTAACCTTGTCTCTCTCATAACCTTAAAATTATACATGTGTTTTATTTTAATCTATTCATAAATAATCAAATCTAAATATACCAAGGACTGTAACCTAATGGTACTCCTCACCTTCCAAAGTAGAAAATCGAGAATTCAAGTCCCATAGCGGCAAAGTGAATGTGTGAATTTCAATTACTAAAAATAATAATATTAATCAAATCTAAATATAAGCTACTCCATCAATCAATTAACCCAAACTTTTCGTATCAAATTCCTCAATCCAAATGAAACCTAAATGAATCTCTAGTGGTCAAAATCTGGCATGAAAGATAAAAAATCATAATCACACCATACAGCTTCAAGCAACTCATGATTACATGCACTGTCCTTTCATATCACAACACATAGAGATGGGTTCAATTAAGCTTTTGCCACCATAACAAAGTAAAATCTTAAAAGCAAACCTTTAAGAATATAGCAAAGGTCAACAATGCACAACAGAATCACTTGCAAATAATTCATATAAATTATTAGATGGTCCTAGACCATAGGCCACTTGGTGGTCTAGTCCAATTAAAACACACGTCCAGTTTCTTTGTAATATCTTTTTAAACTCTGATAGGTCCACTTTTATAGATAGAGAGTTTTGATTAGACTGAATCATTTGGCCCAATGACCATCTAATAATTTCTCAATAATTCAAGACTAAATGATCAACAAATTATGAATCAAAGTCCCAAATATTTAAAAATTATCCAACAGCTCATAAAATAATGTGTTGACAATGACCTAAAGTTATCTCTAGTTGAAGCAGCATCATCTCGCAGGGCAAGAAAGGGTTTTTATATAGTAAATTCAGAAGATTAAACACTAAGTTATATTGCACGGTACCTATTAGTTTATCTGATCCTAACACAAAAATGGGGAAGAAGCTAAAATCCATGCCCAATTGAGAATTGTGATCTTTATTTCATAGAAAATACCGCAATTAAAGCTTAACACTTAAGATAATAAACTGAAATGGCCTACAATACAGAACTTTGCAATTGCTTACTGTCATTACCGCAGTTGATTATATAGCCAGATATCTACTACGTGTCATTGGCAGTAAATAGCCTGATCTATGTGTGGAGGAATCTGCTTTATCTCAGTCCCAAGTTCTTGCTCAATCCTATACCTGTCGTAAAAGCACACATGAAACTTATCAAGTAGAGCCTTCAATAAACCTTCGTAACAAATTATTTGAACGGAAAGTCGATATACACACAAGTTGAAGCGGTCTTCATAAGTGATCAAATTCACTGCTAATCCAAGGTGTCCAAACCTCCCTGATCGACCAACCTACGTGTGAAAAACATATCAATAAAAACATGACAGAAATGCTGAGAGAAACGTATGAGTAAACTGAGAGGAACATACTCTATGGAGATATGTTTCTGCGTTTTTAGGAAAATCAAAGTTGATGACGACATTGACTGCTTGAATGTCAATCCCCCTTGTAAAAAGATCTGAACTTCCATCCCATAAGAAAAGTGAAGAACAATGAGATGAGATAGACAACTACCACCAAATAGAACAGACAGTATTAATAAACAGCAATAGGACAAGGTGACAGAATTAATAAACAGCAATAGGACAAGGTGACAGAATTGGACTCGTTCAATTATGTCAACGAGCAGATGCAAAGACTTTCAAGTAAGGGTGCCCCATACTCAAAATCATAATTGAAGCTGTCCAATTTTTAACCCAAATTGTGCAAAAGAAAATAAGAGGTATATGGGTGGAGAGAGAGAGAGAGAGAGAGAGAGAGAGAAACCAAAATAAATCAATATTTTTAGCTCTTATGATACGATTTTTCTAAAAAACTTAGTACCAAATATCAAATGAACCAAAATCTTATCTCAACAAGATAAAAGTCGGTGTCATCGTCACGATCATATCCCCAGTAACTCAAAATCCGTTTCTTACTCAGAATTTGTGGTATCCAAATCAATAATATGTCCTCTTACTTCATATTCAGTCAACTCAAGCAGTTGGGAATTGGGATCAAGCTTGGATGAGTTGAACTGAGCTAATCACCTCGAAACATCAGAATGCCAAAAAAACATAAAAAATCCTCTCTACTTCCCACATGGTAAAGCTGACTAACATTTTATAAAACAAACTGGCAAAGTAAGAATACGAATTCCAAAAGAACTTCAATCTTTGAATAAATCCAATATGTGGCAGCAACAAGCAATCTCAAATGATGGCTGACAAATTTCAAAAGATCTTATATCATCTATAACGTCTATACAACAATCAATATATCATCATCTGGTCTCGTTTTCATTATTATCAACACATAAATACATATTTATATATGCACATATATATACATATATCAGCTGGTTGTCATGAATAACTTATATGGTATACCACCACTCTACCTTCCAAAGAGAAGGTTGAGGGTTTAAGTCCCATATGGGACAATCTGAATTTGTGTTTCTTACCTCTCAAAAAATAAAAAAATAAAGAAAGAAAAAGAAAAAACTTGTGTGACATTCACCAAAGCAACATGCATAGAGAAATGTACACAGAAGACATGTAGTAGTACTAGTAGCAGCAGCAGTAATAACCAAAAGTCAACAATGCTTTTACCTGTACAAACAAGATTCCTGCATGCACCATTACGAAAATCATGAAACACCCTGTTGCGATGATCTTGAAGCATTTTTGCATGAATATAGAAGCAAGAATAACCAAGCTCTGTAATTTTCTTTGCGAGAAGTTCTACCCGATTCACCGAATTGCAGAAAATAATTGATTGGTTGATTTGCAGCTGTAGATAGACATACAAAATATCTTATCCATAAAACAAGCAAATAAATATCAATATATCTTATCCATAAATGAGCAATTAACTATAGGTGCTTTAGTTAGGGGACAAACCTTTGAGAAAAGTGTGTTTAGGCAGTGGACTTTCTGTCTTTCTTCAACAAAAGCATAAAATTGTGTTATACCCTTAAGAGTAAGCTCGTCCATAAGGTTGATAATATAAGGCTTCTGTAAATATCTATCTTTGAAATCCTTCACAGTAACAGGAAATGTGGCTGAAAACATCAAAATTTGACGATTTGCAGGCAGAAAACGAATCAACTGCTCTACTGATGGTTGGAACTCTGGAGACAAAAGCTTGTCAGCCTGAAAGCCATTAATTCAGATGCCATAAGATTTTCACATTCTAAAGGCTAAACCATAGTTCAAAGTCAATGTACGAAGTTGTAAGAAGGGGGGGGGGGGGGGGGGGGAGATGATGACGAGTAAATGGTGGTCACAGATTGATATCAGGCTATATGCTAGATAATAATTGAACAAAAGATATCCATGGTCTAATATGTTGGGCTCTGGATAAGCAGGAGGAATGTCATCTCAATCTAGTTGTCATGGCTTTGCAAAACATCTCACAAGGTGCCTCTCACTGTCTTGGGTGGGACATGTGAGTTGTCTCAAGATTTAAGACAAGACGATATTGTCCTACAAATTTTATGCACCTTGTCACAATATTCATCTTGAAGCCCAACTGTACCAGGTAGTCATCTAAATAATTGGCAGAACTCAAGCAAATCAGTAGTGAGAATAAATTCATAAAACTACTTTGATGTTGCGTTTGGGAGCACCGAGTCGGCTGCAACATCAAAGCAGTTTATGGATTTATGAATTTATTCTCACTAGTGATTTGCTTGAGTTCTGCCCATTATTTAGATGACTACCTGGAACAGTTGGGCTTCAAGATGAATATTGTGACAAGGTGCGTAAAATTTGTAGTACAATATTGTCTTGTCTTATATTGTCCCGCCCAAGACAGTGTGAGGCAACTTGTGAGATGTATTGCAAGGCCATGACAACTAGATTGAGATGACATTCCTCTTGCTTATGCAGCATCCAGAGCCCAACAAATTAGACCATGGATATATTTGGAATTGGAGGAAATTTAGTTTCCAAATCCAAGGAGCCGATTCGGTGCTCCCAAATATAGCATGAATTAAATCTTGAATCCGTTATTAATGAATCTTTTTTATTCTAAATGTGTAGCAAGCTCTTAAAAATTCATAGTAAGGAGAGCACAGGTACAAAAATGACATTGGGTGATGAATAATATAAGATACGTATCAAATCCACAAGCTTCGAAGGTGAGAGAAAACGTTTCCTATTGAATTCAATCATCTCTAATATAAAAAATAAAAATAAAAATAAAAAACCTTAACTGCAGGGATCATCTCCACCTCTACAGTAAAATTTCCAAACAATTAACCAAAGAAATATATTTGAAATGATAAATGAGATCTGAATGGTTTAATCTCTTTTCACCGGGACACAATATTCTTTTGGTCTTACAACATAACAATATTAATTTATAAAACAACAAGAATAAATAAAAGTAAGAACTAGATTGTCATCACCATTCCACCATCCTAAATCACAGTTCAAAAGCAGACTAAACCATTCTCTTACTCATTTGCCCAAAACTTACATTTTAAAACAAAAGATAGCATAAAACTGTCTACACAAAATTGGGTTGAACTCTATATATTTAACTAATATCAAAACCTCACATGCTATACCTCATCCATGACGAGCATTGAGCAGTTTTTCAAAATGCAGATTCCTTTTTTCGCAAGATCTAATATTCTTCCAGGAGTTCCAACAAGTAAATGAACAGGTTGATATAAACGCATTATATCATCTCTTAAACTGGTACCACCAGTGGTAACCATGACTTGAATTTTCAAGTTCTTTCCAAGCTCCTTGCAAACTTGTGATGTTTGAAGAGCCAATTCTCGTGTTGGAACAAGTATAACAACTGCATAAAGAGAGACACAGAAGGAAAAAAACACAATAAGAACCTAAGCTAAGAATTGTTTAAATCAAAGTGCAATTATGTACTATTAGGGAAGCTCATACCAGGCTAAGTCAAGTAGCAGGATCACAATAAATGCATAATTTACAATCAATCAATTTCTGCTTGGAAAAAAATGATATCCAAAAGCAAGCCAAGACATCACTATCTCACACATGGTGCCAGTTTGATCCAACTATTCGGCCATCAGAAGATATTTAACAAGGTAAAAGAAATATCGTCCCCAGGATTCAGATCCCACTTCCCTATATAAAAAATATACCAGAAAAATAGGGTATCCTCTCTATTGCCCAAAATACGCTAGTGGCATCCCTATATACTGATGCCAATGCATCATTTCCCAGACTTACCATTTCACATAATGTTAATCGTGCCATATAACCCTCAAAAGCATAATTAAGTAAAATCATTATTTTCTTTTTTGGATAAGTAAAACTAAGATGATTTTTCTTCCCAATCCAATAAATTCATCCATGCATTATATTTTCCCATATCAATTTTAGCTCCCAAAAACATTTACCTCTGCCTTACATGACAAGAATACTCTCCTCCGAGACATAAAATATATTGCACTTGTAGGAAAAAGTCTTCCACCCACATACACATATGGTATACAACTAAACCAACAGCACATGTACAATGATATAATCCCATAAGCAGCATTGAGATCAAATAGAAATTATAAACATAACCACAAAATGGTTGTGACTGAAACCTTGAATAACATTGTTGTCTTGATCAATTTTTTCCAAGGCAGGAATGCAAAAGGCAGCGGTTTTCCCAGTTCCATTTTTAGCTCTAGCAAGAATATCACTTCCGGTTAGAGCAATTGGAATACTTTCCTCCTGAATTGGAGATGGCTTTTCAAACCCCTTTTCATATATTCCCATAAGCAGCTCACGCTTCAGAAAATAGTCTTCAAATTCATTTCCTTTAGTGGCTGTAACATCCTGAAAGAAAAAAAAAAAAAGGGGGAAAGAGCTAATCAGGACTAAAAATAAAAAGAAAGGCTAAAATTACACACAATGAGATCCACAAGTCAAACAAATACACTAATAACAAGTCATCAATAAAACCCAACAAGAATAAGTGAACACCAGGGAGTCACAACTTTTTTTTGATAAGTGAACACCAGGGAATCACAACTTCAAACTATAAATTACAAAAAATAAGATTGTTTGTATATATGTATATAGATGTGTACTAGTTTAGGCAAGAAACTTGAAAAAAAAATTACAGAAATATTATAAACTGGGTGTTCAAGCACTAAAAGTTCCACCAAGAAGTTTAATTTTTTCAAAGTCCAACGGTTAATTTTAAAATCAGTGTAATAGGTATATATGTTATTTTGCATCTTTCAACATATGTTCAAACATTTATAAAAAAAAATAAAAAAAACAAGTTTAAAAAAAAATTTGCATCCTTCACATACGCTCAAACATTTTTATATTTTATTTTTTAAATAAAAGATAAAAATAAAAAATAATAAAAAAATTCATGTCTATGCAACACAATCTTTGCAGCAACTGTTAACAGCACATTTTTTTTAATATTACAAAGAACTTTTACTAGTATAAACCCATAAAGAAAAGAAAGAAGGAAATAAGGTAAAACAAATGAAGGATGAGAAATCCTAAAGTGAACAAAACTAGCATTTGTCAAGTGAAAATAAATTACTCTGATGGGAGATAAAAGAACCCTTGAAAAGGAACCACTGTAGTAGTGCCTTGTTCAGCCAGAAAATCAGCTCTTCATTGCTTAATTGAGGAACCCGCTTGATCTCCGATCCTAGAGAGGTCACCAAGTCGAAGAATTCATACATAAGGTTGACTAGTAGCCAAAAACCAGCAGGCTTTCACCCAACAATCACCAAATTGTTATTCCCATAGAAAAGGCTTTGTGAAGGCCTTCAAGTAGCACTAAGCCGCCAAGGTTTCTACTCTTATGGAAGGGTCTATTCTCACAGGTTAAATAATAAAGGACAGCGTTGCCTTAATGATCTATAAATGTGTGTCAAATCACAAGTTGACCCGGGCTGCCAAAAGCAGAACCATCAAAGTTACATTTGATCCTCCCCACCACAGGGCGTCTCCAACCACCCAAAGAATTCTTCATCTCCCCTGAGATGAAGAACCAACACAAACCCTCAAGATCAAGCTCAAAGGCAACCCTTTATATTGCTTCGTAAGCAAAGCCTAACAAGAGGAAAAGAACAGCACCTTGCTCCAAAGATCCTCCTCTCCACTTTGTTCATCTTAAAAGGATATAGCTTTTTTGTCATACCAAATGACCCATAACATAGCTAGGACAGCTCCAGCCAAAGCACATTTGAACTATTGATCCATGGATCTTATCCAATCAGACCCATTCCAATCCATGTGGTTTGATTCAGTTTTGCATGCCCATCAGTCCCGGCTCCAAAAATACATGGGATCAGTTTGGTTCACGGATTTTGGTCCCAAATAATCAATTCAAACCGAATCGATCTACTAATAGTATATATGTATATTATATACATATTTAACCCAAACACCCCTTTTGTTTTGCCTTTACTATCATATCATCCGACCCACAAACAGTCCAAATCTCTCTCTCTCAGTGTGTGTGTGTGTGCGCGCGCGTGCACCACTAGACAAGATGACCACCATCTACATCTCCACCAGCCAACCACCATCAACCATCTCTCATGGCTTCACTGACGTCTCTCTCTCTCTCGTTTTCATAGTCACACACACCGACACCTGAAAAAAGACACAAGCATGCACACACATATCTATATATTTCTATATTCATTATCATCAAACATGCATAGAAACACACATTCTTTTCATTAAGTTACACACACACACACTCAACTGTCCCTCTTTCTTCTCTATTCAGGAAAATACCTTTTACAGATTAAGGGGTTGCATACTCCATGCCTCAATTAGTTCTCTTTTCTGAACTTCTCTAAACAGTCAAGATTGGAATGGTTGTACTATTTTAGTGATTGAGTAGTGGGATATAATCAAGTTCATAGTTAATCTTGGCTTTTCTTTTTTATTTGTTGGACTATTTCTTATACGGAGTTTCTTATTTCTTATTGAGCTATTGGGCTTCTCACAAAAGCCCAGATCGTCAAAACAAACCGTTGTCCTCGGTTTGGTTTGGTTTGATTTAGGCGAATTGATTGGTTCATTTCATTTCCAATTCTTTTGGAACCGTGAGCATCGGATAATTCCAATTTTTCTAAAAACCGGTCCAAACCAAACCATGAGCACCCCTAATCCAAAGAGTTCCTCTTCTAACCCTTACCCAACTTGTCAAAACCCAGATAATCCAATATTATTTAATTACCAAAATAATGTATACCCCCACCAAAAAAAAATCCTATCTGCACTTGAACAAACACAAATGTTTAAAAGGTCAACAAATTAACTATCCCAAGAGAAACACAAATAAAATAGAATAGAATTAATGGTCATGGATACAATTTATATAATAGAAAGAAGAATAACACTTCATGGAAGTTCATTAGCTATTAGCTGAGAAACATTCTAGAATCTGAAGATATTCGGCAAATACAACAATGGTTATGGAATTCTTTAGCACTTAAATCTGTGCAATGCAATAGATGGAGAATATAGGATCATGACCTCTTTCAACAGAACCACAAAGGTGCAAAATACAAATAAAATTAAACAGAGTGTACAAGTAAGATGTAAATCTCAAATTAAAGAGTATTTACAAAATAAATAAATAAAAAATGAGACTGTATAAATCAAGAAATGTGTGTAATCATGTGAAATCATACCTCTGTCCTGTACCGAGTATCAGGTGGAGGAATCTTTAACCGTGCCTTCCAGTCTTGTGAACTAAGGACAAAGGCAGGAATTAGACTTGAGATAACATGAAACTGCATGGACATTTTTTTAGAGAAGTGAAGGCATGGATTTTGTAAATACTGTAATTACAGTATCAAGATTTACAAAGGAAGTTCACACAAAGTAAAAGGAAACCAAACTTTTTAAATGGATATACGTAGTTTAACCAGAGAATATGCTACAGCTTTTACTATCCAACTAATCTTATAGATTCTTTGCATTTCTATTGTACCTCGCGGTATGGCAGGAGACTCCTCATGCACTGGGCTAGCCCCTTTTTACATTCTTATTATTATATAGTTCTGAACCCATATAGTTGATCAAGGTTACAACCTGCCTCTACCAGAAACTCAGAAAGTTAACTAGCTTACAGTGCACAATTCCAATTACCCTGTTCAGTAGTAAATGGGACCTAAAAATTGGAATCTCACACCTAATGTCCAATATCTTGAGCTTAATCAGCTCAGTATTTCATATTTTCATAGATAAAATCAATAAACAATCATTTTACTACATGAGCTATCGTTTTAACCTGCAACTCAGTACCCTAACCTACAAATAACATTCACAACCATAAACCTTAATAAAACAGAACGGAAGACTCAGTTAACTGAACAACAAATCCTTTTGTCCAACAAAACCAAAAGCTAATATTACTCTAGATAATTTAGACCACTATAACAAAATTACATTACCCATACATACACATACATGTAGAAGAAAAAAATTAAATAAAAAAACACATAGATGAGAACAAAGGAAGTGTACCTTGAATCAATGGCTTCGGACTGTATGGTTTTTTCCACTTCATCGGCGTTCGAATCGGCACCCAATTGATTCCTCCTCAGCCACTGTTGTTGGTACTGAAATTGCTGGTGGTTCTGCATTGGACTCCTCTGGACATACTGTTGATGGGGGTTCCTCGGTTGAAAATTAGGGTTTCCGTTTAAGCTCCCACCACGACCTCCGCCGCCCATTCCTGGCGGATATCTTCCTCGCGTATTCATCGAAAATGTTCAAATCTAAACTCTAACAATTGGATCAAATTATCGGAGCAAAACCCTAACGGATCGATCAAATTCAATACAAAGAGAGAATATACAAAACTGCAAAGCTAACGATCAAACTATGGCTTGTAATAGAAAGCAAAATCGCGGGCGTTAAAAGGGCCACTATTTGCTTTAATATGAGAGATTTGAAAGCTAAAAACAAAAACGTTGTAAATTTAAATGGCAAAGGGAAAAAAATTAAACAATTTGTTCATGAATTGAGGAGGTTCGAGCCCTAAATTAGAGAAAGTAAAAGCGATTTTAGAGAGAAAAAGAGAGGTGTGATTGGGGAACCAAGATGATGATGATACTATCGTCCTAGGGCGTCACGTAAATTCGCTATATTGCTAAATGGTACCCATGCCTAATTTATTTTCTGAAAGTTCCAGAATTTTTTCTAAACTACAAAGTCCTCCACTGAGATTTCTAAAATTAGAGTACAGTCCTTTATGTTATTTGAAATTAGAAACATCAACCTGCACACACAATACTTATACATATTTGATGCGGAGTATTTACTTTGCAAACTCGTGTACCCAAAGTCACCAGGTTAAAATTAGGGGTGACAAAATTTGACACGACTCGCCAACACGATTTGAACACGATACGAGTTAAACAGATTTGGATTGACTTCAAATGGGTTTGGATTGTAAACGGGTTGACACGATTAACCTATTTAGTTAATCATGTCGTGTTTGGGTTGAAGGGTTTATCTCATTTATACGCATTTAAGTATATGTGTTATAAGCAAATTTCTTTTTAAGTTCCAAAATAACTATCTAAACTTGTATCTTAGAGCATCTCCAACCGTTGTGTATATTTTTTTGTGTAAATCTGATGTATCATGATGAATTTACACAAAATATTTGAATTATTTAATTTGAGCTCCAACGTTTGTTTTATACCTTTTGTGTAAAACTATATCTTCCAATAATAATTAGCCATGTATCATGCCAGGACCCTACATAACTTTTATAAACTTACTTAATGTATGGTTGATTCTTTAATGGAATGAGAAAGAGGGATGAGAAATGAAATATGTTGATTTGGCAGTGTAAAATACACAATCCTTTTACATATTGATGATGTGGCAATGTATCTTAAAAAACTACTGGAGATGGAAAAAATTTACACATCACATGTGACAGTTTATATTTCACACAAAAAAGTATTTTAAGATACTGCTGGATTTATTCTTTTGTAAATTAGAGATTATTTAATAATTTGGTTGCATTAAAACATATATTTTTCTAGCATTTAATGTTTGATACTATTGATAATTTAAATAATAAAATATTTGATTTTATTAAACAGGTCATTAAACGTGTAATCCGTTTAATAAATAGGTCGGGTTAGTGTTGAGGATCCCTGACACGATTATTAAACGGGTCGAGTTAGGGTTGAGCTGTTTAGTAGAAATACTCTTAAATTGACGCGACACGATTACGACCCGCGAACACGAATTACCACCCTAGTTAAAACTTAAAAGAGTTCTCAATTTTTGTTAATAAATAAATTAAAAATATCTTATTAAAAGCTTTTTATTTCTTTTAATTGAAATATTAGCTAAATTTAATGTTATCTAGTAATTATCTATGCCATTACGAATGCATGTAAATAGGGTATAGTAATAAATGAGAGAGAGAAGACTTCTCAAACCACAAATTGGCCTTGGCTGAGAGTAAAAATGTTAATTTTTTTTTATTTACTTATGTCAACACTGAGGTGATCAATACTTTTATTAAAAACAATGAATATTTTGGTCCTTTTAGAATGAACGTTAACCGTCATACTCTAATTGGCCTAACCGCGAGTGTTAGAATGATTTTTTAAAAATTTCTACCTGAGAATAATTTTAAAAAAATTCAGGGGTCTAAGATTAATTTACCCTTTTCTAATTTTTTTTTTAAAAAAACACTGTACTTTGTGGATAAAGTTAATTTCATTTTAAAGTGTGATCAAAGACTCAAAGTTGATGGTAGCTAATCTATTATATTATATGATCATAACTTTTATTTTTATTAATATATATATATATATATATATTTGGAACTTTCGTCTTTTAAAATGCTTGACAGTATTTGCCATTGAACTATCATCCATGGGGACTAAAGTAGGATCAACAGGATGTGATTGAAGAAACAAGTTGGTGATTCTTCATCAGCAGATTTTAACCAGAACATCATATCATGAAATTTTCTCCCAAACAACATATCAAAAATATTAAAGACAACTGCCAACAAATAAGTCCACAATAAGAGCAGTGGACATGTTCACAAAATACAATAATATACTTCTGTCGTTTCATCAGCTTATCAACAAGTGACTTGAGAAAAAACTCATCTTATCAAGGATCAAATGCCTAAAGACCCAAAATACATTAAAATCTAAATTTTCAAGAGTATATATGTTCCCGTCATGATACATGCCAATCAAAATCTCAAAACTGAAAATACACATTTTTAAGTATAAAGCTTCATATCACTCGTGCTTTTATTTCTCTCTCTATATACTAAGCAAGTCTTGAATCTCACAATCTGCCGTTGTCAGCACTAACCTTGCTTTCTGTAACCGATTTTGCAGATGATGCCAACTCTGCTTCCAAATTCTCAACCTTCTCCTTCAATGCAGTGACATCCATAGCAGCTATAATCCCCTCCTTGATTTCAGATTCTAACTTCTTTAACACGTCAGAACTCGAGCCTATCGCTACCTCCGCCTTCAGCTCTTCAATTTTCCCTCCAAGACCTGCCACATTTATTGCCCTTTCAATCTCCTTACTAATTTCAATGTTTGGTTTCACCATCTTCTCTTCCAAACCAGGGGGTAGACTTCCAACCTTTCTCTTGGTCACCCCCACAATTTCCAGGTTAGCTGACTTTAGCACCTCCTCCAGTTCTTTCTTAGTTCTCTCCACTTCTTTGGCTAAATTCTTATCCAATGGATCACCTTTTGATAACTTTTCTTGGGCCTTTTTCAGAAGTTCCATCTTGGCTTTTATGTCAGCTGGGACTTTCTGATTGATCGCTTTTTTCAGTTTCTCACTTTTCTCTTTCAGTTCAATGAGCCTCCAAACCATGTTTAGCTTTTCAAGCTTTTCCTTTAACCCGAGATAGGCTCCAGGTGGTGACAAATTCTGGTTAAATTCTTGCATTATTTTGTCAGCCTTCTCTTTTAAAGCCCGGTTCAGAGGCTGATTAGGGGCTTTAGATAACTCCAATTTAAGTGATTCAATCTTGTCCTGCAGGCCCATCGAAATGAATGCCTCAGTTATTTCCCGGTCTACATTTTCTTTGAGCTTCTCAATTGCTTGGTTAGTAATTGGATCAGATGGTCCTTTTGATTCTAGAATTTTCTTCTTGAGGTTCTGAAGCTCTAATTCTATATCAGCAGTCTCTGGTGTATTAGCATCAGATAGCTTCATGTTTCGTTTCCTTTCAGGGTCCACTTGAATGCTTTCTCGGAAACCCCCAACTCCAAGGGACCGGAATTTGAGCATCCGATGGTGGAGCAACTCTTCTGCATCCATTTTTGCCAACTCCTGCATTCATATTAGTATTGCTATCAAGGGAATCGAAACAATTAAGTGGGTGGACCCCGTAACCAGTAAAAGAAAGTGAAATCAAAGCAAGCAGTGACTGGAATCCTGCCTTGCATTAACAGGATGCTAGATACAGCCAAAAATGCATAATACTAGACTGACTAAGATATCAACAGGTACATTGATGCACTTGCATCTTTGGACTGTAAACTGATGTTGGAAATAGCTTTTGCACATTTATAAGTGAATGACAGTTGAAAGTCCTCCATAAATTTTTTTTATTATTATTATTATTTTTATATAGAAATGTCCATATAAATCCTTTACTAAGTTTTCATAATGTCTGCCTGGATCAGAATGCATGATTTTTATTTAATTTTTCTTTTCCCCGGGTGTAAATTCATGAAGAAATCTTTTAAATCTGCAATGTTTCTAAAGAAAAATAATCTACCTCCATGGCCTGGGTGATGGCAAGCTTAATCTGTTGGGATGTCCACAAAGGATCAGAATGTGCGCCGCCAAGAGGTTCCTGCAAGTGACGACAACACCACATTGCTATAAACAAAATGGAAGAAAAACAGCTGAGCTGAGAGAAAACCATATGAAAAAAAGAAGTTGAAAATCAGAGCCAGTGCTTGCTTGAAGAATCTTCTATTTATTTACTAAGAACCTGGTACAATTACCACATTATTTTTAAAACATAATAGAACCATTATGACTAGAATATCATTAGACCAGGAAGGGAAAAGAATGTAGAGAAACGAGGGACATGTCTGTTCACTAAAATTATGCTATCTAGACAGAAAGGGAATATGGGAGAGATGAACCAAAATTTGCACTGAAGCAACTTCTAATCCTACTAGCCAAGTTCCAATTTCTAAATAGATAAAATGAAAAAGAAAAAAAGAAAAAAAAAAAGGGAGAAGAAAGAAAGGAAAGCTTCTATAAGATTTTGGGAACAGACTACCATATGATTCCACTTTTGCTTTCTGATCTAGATCATCTTTCATAAGATAATAAAAGACCAATGTACTTACAGGAATGATACCATCTGCAATTCTGAGTCGGTAATGTTCTTGAGCTGTTATCCTCAATTTTTCTGCTGCCTATACAAGTTTACAACAAAACTTGATTCACAAAATATTCTGTGGTCCAAAAAACTCAATCCGTCAGATGTATTATGTACCTTAGGAGCTGCTTGAGAAGACTTCCACAATATTGCAGCACATGCTTCAGGACTAGCCCAAAAAAAAAAGAGCATTGAGAACTAAATCTAGTAGAAATCAAGGAATACAAGTAACATGCACCAGAGCCTAGAAGCTATAAAAAATGAAGATAATCAACAGTGCTATGTCCTCCTTTTTAATTATTTATTTATTTTATGAACAAAATTATATTTTTTGAGTGGGAAGGGGATGAGGCCCCAACAACAATCACATGAAAATTTTTTAGCACGTCTGGATGTGTTAGTCAGGGAAATCCATCTTGCAATAGAGAGCCTTCCCACAGAGCAACAAACTACATTCAACAGTATATTTGGTTCATAAATTTATATCTAATATGAAGCGGACGATTTGATTTTTCATAAATAAGTCAAAGCATGTGAACATAATTTCAGAAGGAAATTTAATCAAGTATCAGCATCACGACCTTGCAACGATTACTTATTACGTGGTTTGTTAGAAACTTTAATGTTCTGTAAGCTCCTTTTTTTGTTTTTATTTTTTATTTTTATATAATATTCTTTAACTATATGTTTGCACAAGAACAAAAAACATAAGATCTAAACATCACCTCGCAACATAGAAGGCAGAATTCTCCAGCATAAACAATTTATTGGCGCAACCAATCGCAAGCGCACCACCTGAACCACCTTCACCTGTTACAACTGTTATAATTGGAACTTTCAAGCCAAACATAGTCCTCAGGTTATGGGCTATTGCTTCCCCCTGCATATTGTAGAAAAAACTCATTCAGTTATAGTAATGCATCAACAAGGTATATCTTAGATGGCAGAACTTGCAAGCAAGATGAACAGTCAAGACGCGCCTGACCAAGTTCCTCAGATTTGAGATCAGCAAAAGCACCCGGCGTATCAATAAATGTAACAATAGGAAAACCATGATGATCAGCATACTTCATCATGCGTAAAGCCTTCCTGTAGCTGTATAGCAACCAATCTTTAAGTGAATATGGCTATTCTTTTCCAGATACTACCAAATGTGGTGCACAAAGCTGCTCATAACTTTCGTAACTACCTCAAATTGACTGAACATATTTTTGTGTCCTCAACAAACAAAACATACATATTTTTGTGAGCCTTGGAACCAAAAACAACAATAGTTTCAAGCAGTGACAGAGACAGAAAATTATTTTAGGGGGCACAGCCTTGAAAAAAAAAAAATTTTTTTAAAAAATTACCATATTAGGAGGGTTTCACTCCAAATTCAGTGGGGGCATTACTTGAAAATTTTAGGTGTTTAATATATATATATATATATATAAATTCAGTGGGGGCAGATGCCCCCCCTCAGCCCCATGTAGATCCATCAGTGGTTTCAAAAGTGGCTTTAAACCAGAAAGAAAATGGCACAAACTAGGTGTTAGACACATGTTATAATCTACAGCAAGAAAAAGGTCCATTCTCATATTGACTGCCTAGTGTTAATGAAATAGCTGAAAGTCCGAATGTCCAATGAATGACAAAAAAAAAAAGGTAAAATTTCCATTTCCAAATGAAGATTCTTGAAACATACCCATGAGGAGTTGGCATTGCAAAGTTGCGAGCAATGTTTTCCTTTGTGTTCCTACCTTTCTGATGGCCTATGAACATGTAGCTTTTACCATCCATACTCCCAATACCAGTTACAATGGCTGGATCATCATAGCCTGCACGATCTCCATGGAGTTCCACCCACTTTTATCATATGGAAAGACAGTAAGTACTTCTAATTTAGGGTCATTGTTATAAAGCAAATAAATGATGAGAAAGAAGAATGTACCTTCTCCGTGATGTTAAATATATGATCAAGAACAGTTGGTCTATTTGGATGTCGAGCAATATTTAGGCGTTGAATGGGCGTCAAATGTGCGTATAAATCTTTAAGAGCCTGAAAATATGGTAGAAAAAAAAAAAAAAATTTGAAGTCGGAATCACTCAAATATCAAATGACACTTCTACGTAACTTTTGCAGCTGTTCATTATCAGAATGTATCATCTGATTGATTTATGTTACATTTATGTTTCACATTTGATGAGCTGGCACTACATTCTATTAATTATAAAAAGTTAAAGCCACATATCTATTAAATCTTTAACTCTAAAAAAAAATGTAACTTTTTAAAATACGTGGTCTAGTTACAACTCTGGTCAAGTAATCGTGGTGAGCAACTAATGCCTACAGTGTTACTTATAACTCAATAAGTTCTAAAGCACATAATTGGACCAAACTTTGACCACTTCTCATACAAGGCTAATTATTTGGAAATACTAAAGAATCTTTAGTGATTGTTGAATGTTGATATGTAATTTGATAAGTCAATATGACTAATGCAATACTGAAGAATCTCCTAACAATGCAACTGTTGATGGCACTTTTATTGCAATAGTAAAGACTCTGCTAATCACGAAAATGTTGAAGGCAATCACATTTAATGTAACTCAAAACCTATGTGCTCAAAACTTATGTGCTAAACCAAGGGAGAGGGAAAAATAAAATTGAATATAGCAGAAGCAAATTTTTAATCAAAATTTTCTACCATGGAGACAAATTGAACCGTTTTAGAAATCACCTGTTGATACTTGTTTTCCAAAGCATTAATTTGATTGCTGAAATCCAAACCAGTTTCATCAGCCATTCTGCGTACCTGTAAGAAAGAAATTGAACTGAACAACTAAAGCTTATAATAGCATCCACCTTGAACAGTAACTGTAATATTTAACAGACAAGATAGCTTGAAAACATCAATAGAAACAATATGATCGTGTTTCTATAGTGCTTAACTATGGGACTGCAGTGATTCTTATTATTTTGCTAGACATAATACCATATGCATGAAACCAATTATAATGACATTATGCATTAACTTTGATACAAATATGGGTATATAATTGGCAATGTGAATAGCAAGTCACCTCAATGATCTTTTTCTCCAAATCAACCAGCGGCTTCTCAAAGGCAAGTGTCACTGGTTTGGGTTTCTCGGTCAGAGGCTTGAAGTAAGAGAGGTAAGTCAAAGGTCCAGCACTACTATTTGGGTCGATATCATCTGGCCAAGGGTAATCATGCTTCTTCCCCTTCCAAATCTTCGCAACAATATGAAACTTGTTCCTACCTCTGGACCTCGCGCCTTCCAAATCCTTCATCCAAACTCCATGTAAACTTCTGTACAAACTTTTAAGCGAATCACTAGCAAAGAACACATTGCCAATATATGACCGCGACCTGACTCCAAGACCCCACTCTTCGCCTCCTCTTCCTCTTCCACTGTTCCCAGCTAATAGAGATAGTGTAGTCATCCTAACTCTAAACCCACTATGCAGAGTATTCACAATAATTTAATGCCAATGCTTTCTAAGTACTGCATCCCTGCATTCACACACCAGCAATAACACTAAGATAAAAAAATTTCACATTCAATTTAAATGCAGAATCTATGTATAGACCGATTAAGCTTAGTCTGCTTAGAATTCATGGAATTCAATAATAACTCAAAAGGGAAAGTAAATAAACCACAGGGTGCCCAAAAAAAAAAAAAAAAAAAACACACACACACACACACACAGCAATAAAGCTTTATACATGCTAATAGAACTGATCAACTGAGCAAAAACTACCTAAACCATAGAAAGATTAAATAATATGAGAAAAAAATAAAATTGATTTGGCAGAATTTGCCTAATTCAACTCAATACAGACACTCTTTCCAATTAAAATCATTCTAAACGACAAAAAAGTTATCTTTTTTTTTTTTTTTTTTGGCTTACTTTGAAGATATACATGAAAACATATACAAATACTTATGTACATATGAAATTATGAATTCAATTTCATAATCTTAGGATCACATTCTAACAATAGTAACTCATCCACCAAAGAAATACACAACAGAAGCTTAAAAAGTAAAACAATTTAGCTAAACACGTACCGATAATCTCAGACAACTAGGGTTTCTCAAATTGAGCAGACAAACGAAGCTGAGAAATTGGAGAACCAACGGTTCAGATAACTCACTAAAAATCACAAAAATGAAAGAAAAAAAAGGTGAAAATTTGGGTAGAATATAGTTGTACTGTAGCTCGTTCGAAGAGTTTGATAGTCCATGTAACGAGGAGTTGTCAAAAATAAGCAGGGTGCGTATTTCACGCCAAGATGTAGGAAGTGAGATTTTCGCTAAGACCACGCGCGTTCTTATTGGATAAAGACTCTGCTGTGAGCTACTGTAACTGGTTGTGTCATACACGCTAATAGAAGACAAGTGGGATTGATAATGCCAAGTAGGCGAAGGAATGGTGAGATTAGGATAAGTCCCAACACATAATCACTGGGCCCCCACTGAACACGTGGTGGGTCAGCTAGATCTACAAGCTTCCCCAGTTCTATCCATCACCAAGCAAGATACTTTTTTTCTCTAATTTTTGTTGTGTTCTTCTTTTTCATCATTCGCAATTTCACACACAACCGAGAAACACAATAAATCAAAGTGCAAAATCATTTTTTCGAGATTATAACAAATTAATTGAGGGTTGTATTTGGGAGTATTAAATTGACAGTTTAAATTTGGATTGAAAAAATCTTATTTAAAATTTAAAATTTTGAATTAGAATTTTTTCGAATTTAAATTCAAAGTATCGATTCAGCATTCGAACGTAACATTATTGTATTCTGCATGTGTACAATAAAAAAATAAATACAGTAGAAGCTTAGAAAATTCATTTCCACTATGATAATTTCTCTTGGAGGTGCCTTGCCTGGCTTGACACAATTGGAAGTTTTATGAGAAAAAAAAAGGGTTATATGAAGTCAAAAAAAAAAAAAAATCCTAGATTGGCTCAATTGGAGGCTTTTGTGAGTGTCGAATGGTTTTATTAAGAAATTTTTTATTTAAAGTGAAAACTAAATGTATATCAAAACTATATAGTTTAGTGGTATCTTTCTTTTCCATCAAAATATAAGTTGATGATCCGAGTCTTCTAGAAATAAAGTTTGCGGCGTCTTCTAGAATAAAGTTTGTGCATGACCTATTTGTCGGGATAAAAAAAATTAAAATAACATTGATTACTCAACTTTTAAATATTCTAAATTAATCGATCACAAACTTGGTTCAATAAATTCAGTAGGATCAAGGCAAAGTTGACATGATATGGATGAGCGAAATTCGGTCAAATAGGCCGAAACAGTTTTACAATTCACTCAAAAGTCAATGTCGTTCCACCACATCCTCCTTAAAAAAAAAAATTAAATAAAAAAAATAAAAAAAGAAGAAAAAAATTTATTCAACTTTCAATGAGTTTCACTAGTATATAACCAAATCATTATCCAATTCGCAGTGCTTACATAACAATGTTTCAAAAAATCCCTACTACTTTTATAGAAAAAAAGGGAAATTTCCAAAATATAATACATATTCCCACAAAAATAAAAAAATAAATAAATAAAGCCTCGAGCAATTAACGGCACATAATGAGAAGCCACCATACACCTGAAGATATTCCTTGCAAAATTAGGAGTAACCATCAAATAATGAAGACATCAAACCGGCAAACAACACCATATATAAATGATTCATCCATTTCCAGTAATTAAAGTACAATGGAGATGTTTCAGTCCATAAACCCAGGGGTGAACACAAGCCACAACCCACTGGTACACAACAAAACAACTCCATGTAGCTTTTCAAATGAGTAATGCAAATAACCCCCACCTCTGCAACTCAAAACACTACTCAGACCAGCCTGATGACCTAAACCCACACATGAACAAAACTTGAGGAATATCAAGAACTTGCTTATGCAGGTAAAACTAAACTATAAATATGGATCTATGTCTTATTAGCTTCGATAACATGTCTATCTTAACTAGAAGACACTCCAGATTCAGTGATCATTAATTAAAGTTTCTGGTTGATAAACTCCGGTAAACTGTGTGGCTTTCATGTGGGGATCATATTGAACTGAAATCTTGAAAGCTGCTGCGGTATTGTTGATATTACTGGTCCATATCTCTGTAGCCAAGTAAAACATGTTTCAGCCTTCATGCAGCATGAATAAAGAATGTAACGGCATTATCGTTCATTAAAGGGACATAATAGTACCATAACAACAACAACAAGTGTTTTTCCCAACTACTTGGGGTCGGCTACATGAATCCTATGCTTCCATTCCGCCCTGTCTGAGGCCATAGCCTCAGTCAAGCCACATGCTATCATACCTTCTTTACTAACTCTACCCGGACATAATTAGAAATACAAAAACACAGGACAAAAAAGATGGGAGCAAGGGCAACCCCAGCCTCCTAAGTCCTAACACCACGACAGGTGTACATCTGAACAGCCTATAGCATTCAGAAAGCAAATCACTCTCCAAATGATACATTCAGAAGCAAGTCTCAGCATATCACTTCAAAAGCAGCAAGTCTAATATGAAAATAGGAAGGGGATAAACTTTAAATGTCAACACACCTGAACATTATCATAGAGTTCAAATAGGGGAACAGCTAGCAATTTCAGATTTTTTGGAACTGCAAAGTACTCCCTTTCAGACAAGTGAACTAGGAAGAGCTTCTTACATTCCTGGATCAAAGATATTCTCTTCAGTTCAGCACAGTTCAAGAGAATGTTGTCATAGAGATAGGATGCTTTCTGAAGACTGAATATCCTTTACCTTGGCTTTTGTGATGTGTGGAGGACAGTATGGGTACATTATAGTTTCAAAATTTGGCCTCCACCAGATAGCAACACACTCACCAATCTGCAGCAACATGTGACAAAAAAAGAAAATTAATTCCCCTGCATAATTGTAGAGGGAAAAAAAAAAAAAAAAAAATGGAGGATAAAACAAATGTTCAGAAAACAGGAATGTGTAGACTTCTTTAGCATGTACGAGAGAAAGGAAACTAGAGAAACACACAATAAGCACATGGGCAATCAGTTGGGATGTTCTTAGAATTCTGCAGGAGAAATTTTCCTCAGGAATTAACTTCCTAAACTGTCCTCATTAGAAGAAAAATATAAAACAAATTCACACCATCATGACAGTCATCATTTGCTTCTCACATATCCAACATCAAGCAAAGGGCTAATTATTGCCACTTTTTTTTTTTTTTTTTCTCTCTAATTTAAGACACATTTTTTGTTCGGCATATATGCTCGATAATTAGATGATTAGAAGTAACAAAAGAACAAACCTGCCAATTAGGCTGTAGTGCAGGCGAATTAGCAGCAAGTTTGCTACTCAATTTCCTTTTCAAGCCTTCAATTTCTGCAAATAATAAGAAAGTCAAATTGTGTTTGGGAGGGGGGAAGAGAGAGATTCTGGTAGGAAAAAGGACAGGATGATACCATTTTCTCCTGGCTTCAAACGACCACCAGGGAGTTTGCAAAACGTGTTTCCAATTTGCAGAAGAAGAATGTGTGGATGGTTATGCTCTTGTACCTGCAGAATTAGGCACAAAAAATTACAGAAGGTATTTCACATCAACTGGCAGTAGATTATATGCATAGGATTTAAAGGGATATCACAGGCCAAGTCCTCTATCTGCAATTTAAAGCAAGAAAAGTATCAGAATTGCAATATAATTCCAACTTACTACACGTTGGAATAACAGGAAAAAGCATGTAAAACTGTACAGATTTTGAAAATATTTCATAGTAAAAATGATTATTAATCTCACAAATTATCATGATTTCCAAGGATTTGAAATATAACTTCAAAAACCGGTAACAGCATAAAACAAACTCTTTATTACTTTTAAGAGTACATGTAACGTGGCTGGAGTTGTTGGCAGCGGTCACTGCGGTGCTCGTCCTAGAAGAGGACATTGTGGCAGCAGTATGAGGTTGATGAGCAGGACCAGTGGGCTGAGGAAATTTTCCTTTGCTTATGAAACACAACACAAGGTGAATGCTTGGTGGTAGTCTTGCTATTTGAGGGGGTGTTAATGCCTTGTAGTGGCAAAATTACTTTCAACAATTTTCGAATGAGGAATATCCTAGGGAGGAAATTGAAAATAGTGAGCCTAATCTTGGAATGACACCTAAATTCAATAATAAGGAAATAGAGACACGTTGTGAAAAATGAGAAACAATAAAGCCTGGAGATGATCCTATAGAAGTGTGGAAAACCTTAGGGAAGGTAGGAATTAAATGACTAACAGGTTTATTTAACAGAATTTTAGAGGAAGCACGATGTCATCCAGTGGAGGAAAAGCACTGTAGTGCCAACATACAAAAATAAGGGAGATATTAAAAAATGCAGCAATTATTGAGAAATTAATGAGTCATATTATGAAACTATGGGAATCGCTAATAGAACAAAGATTAAGGAAAAAATGTGCATTGTCAAATAATTAATTTAGTTACTTACTAATGCAATTACTGGAAGATTGTATAAGCAAGAAAAATAATTTACATATCATTTTCAAAGAATTAAAGAAAACATATGATAGTGCACAAAGAAAAATAATGATTTTCCTATAAAAGTAGGATTACAACAAGAATACACTCTAAGTCCCGTATTTATTCACAATAATATTGAAGAAATGCATTAGGATCGAAAGCTTTAAAACTAGTCCAACTATATTACAACATATGTAATGTAAATTTAGTAATGCTATAGGAACTGATAAAATAGCGATAACACTTCAACACCAAAATATAAACTCAAAGTCATCATTTTCTATATTTAGGAGTGATAAAAAAAAATATATAATATATTTAATTAATTAATTTATATATTTAGGATCAATTACACAATAGGATGGAGACAGGTATGGACCCACTGATAGTGCAGTGGGGGCAATTGCCCTGAATTATTATTATTTTTTTATTATTAAACCCTAGTATTTTTCTCATTTTGATATATATACCTATAAAATCCCACCATTGCCCCCACTGAAATTACTTAAAAAAAATCATAATTGCCCCCCTCACATATTTTTCTGGGTCCATTCCTGGATGGAGAGATTAATGATGATACTAGTAGTAGAATTGCCATATATAGGACAAAATGGAGGCAAGCTAGTGGTCTTTTATGTGATAAAATAAGCTGTGAAAAATTATAGAAACTCCAATCGACTTTTTTTACCGACTGAAGTGGCTATCATTGGAATAAACACCCCAAGAGGAAAGAGACTTTATTCTTATCTATTACAAGCTAGGACTTTTGGTTAACACTAGTTATTGGAGTTGCACAAAAAAGTGATTGTTGTTTGTAGCATTACTCATAAGTTAAAAAGGAAAAGTATATGGAACAACCATTAGACTGGCTATCTTTTACATAGCAGAGTGTTGAACATTCAAGGCATTAATGTAGCAAAAATGCAGTCTCTTGGTGGATGCTAGGAGTAACTAGAAGAGATAAGGTCAATAATCAACATGTGATGGAGATATTAGGAGCAATAGCTATAAGTGAAAAAATAAGAGAAAGTAGACTTAGGTCAGTTAGGTGGTATGGACATACCCAACGCAAACATGTAGATGCTTCAGTGAGAGAAGGAATAATAAGAAATGATCTTGAAACTTTAATTCTAACGGTATAAATGGCTTATGATAAGAAGGAATGAAAAAATAAAAAAATCATGCAACCCTGTTCAAACAGAATAAAGGCAATGATGATGATAACAATATTTAACGCCTTGTAGTGTTGGTTTATATTTTGAGAGTGAGGTAAGGAAATGCATCATATTCGTTGAATCCAATCACATCTGAAATATTTTAGACAACTGTTTTTACTCAAATCTAGATTCTAATTGGAAATGAAAAGGCTACCATGAGGACACTCTCATGTGATCTTGTGCCGTTAGCCTTTGGACACAACCTTCACGTGGTGCACTGTCAATCCAACGATTAAGGTTGCAACCTCGAGGTAAGAGTGCCTTCATAGTCTAAAATAAATCATAAAAAGTTCTTTAGCTCATTACATATCACCAATACCAAAGGATCGATTTCATCATGTATCCAGTCATAGCATTAAACATGAAAAAAAATAAATAAATAAATAAAAAGAAAGAAAGATGGCTGACAGATAGAAATTTCCAATTTACACTCATACACATATGATAGAGGCAGCATGGTTGACAGATAGAAATTTCCATTTTACACTCATGCACAGATGATAGAAGGCAGCATTTGTCTAAACATCATAAGGACTGACCAGTAGTATTGCTTCAACACTGGTCCTCATTCCTTCTTTCATATAGCTGCAAATTGAAACCAAAAGCAGTCATTTAAAAATTAACAAAAAAAAAAAAAAAAAGTCAATCCATCATCCATTGTAACATAACAAAATAAAATGGAATATAAATAAAGCTACCTAGGTATGACAAAAGTTTTTGGATTGGCAAAGTACTAATCACAACTTAACAGTTGACACTAAATTTAGTGGGACATATAATCTGCCATGCCCACCTTTGGATTAATTGCCTTTATCATGCTTGAAATGCACACCAGATATCAACTTAATCAAATAAGGTGTAGGTAGCCCATTCCTGATTTACATTTTATTTTGAACGAATTCCACGGGAAGAGGAAAATTCAGAGAAAGAAGAGAGAGAAAAAAAGAAGAAGATTGAGTGGATTCTAAGAACCTGCCTATACCGCCCTTGCAAGAACCAACTATGATGGTCCCGTCTGTGTGGATACCTTCGGCTTCAGTAAAATCTCTTAACCCTTAGTTTTCATAGATGTTGAATTTGTACACTAACTCAACTTTGAGTATGAGAAATTTACTTTGTTAATTGAATGGAATTACGGCATTCCAATAAATAAAGGACAATTATTTTTTTGAGAAAATATTGAAATAAAGCTTTTCTTACTTATCAAAAAAATATATAAAAAAATATAAGATAAAGCGTTAGTTTAGAATGTCATGTTGATGCAACAAGTAATGATGTTTGACATACATGAGAGGAAGGGTTGGATCGAAGTTAATCTTTCAGCAAATTCAACCATTGATCGAATTCCCTTCTCAAGTAAAAAAAATTAGAACACTGTAAGGGATTTAAAATTGCTTCACCAACATCAGGCTTTAAATTAGAATCAATTTTAGATGTCATTTTAAGAGAAACATTACGAGTCTATGGATGAGACACTTACCTATATTCGTCCTCTTGATGCTTAATATGCATGAAAAATGCTGAAAAGCCATATAATTCAACGGCTGATTCGCCAAAACAGAATTTTATAAAAAGGGCCAACTATAAATTGATCCTACCCCTTTCCAAAATATGTTTTCTAATAAATACAATGAAACATATTATTCAAATTTTTTTTTTTTTGACACAAATATGTCCATATAGAAGACGCAAGAAAACCGTAAACAAGGAAAAACCTTGATTCTATCCGATACTCAGAATTAAACCATCTTTGAACTCAAATTGCTGAAAATTAATAATAAAAAAGAAAAAATCTCAATTTTTAGATTCTAAGTATTTGGTTTTCTTAAGACAAAAAAAAAAAAAGAAATGAAAAGAAAAAAGGGCAACAACTTTCTCGGGAACTAAAACAACTTTTAAGGGTTTTGATTTTATTTATTGGCACATTTTCTGAACAAGCAAACACAAAGCTAGGGTTGAAATAGTCATGCGTACTTGACTTTCATACGAGCGAGACGATCTGCGACTGAGGTGTCTTTCTCCATCTTTGGCTCTTTCGTCCCGAAAGTGTAGCTCGATAGAGGGTAGGTGTTCACCACCGGTGACATCACCATCTTCGCCTCTCTCTCTAGACTATTCCACAGATGAACCAGCCAGATCAAACAGCATTTTCTCTAGAACCAACCTTTTAGCAGACTATTTTGAACTCTGTAAAGTGAATTACCTCGTGTACCCTTACATTTTTCGTGCGGATAAATTACACCTCCTAGAGTTTTGACAAATTACTCGTGCTTTACCCATATCTTTTGACTTTATGTTACCTATTTATTTCAAATCTTAGGAACATTCTCCACGGTCCACCACATGCAGATGGTCGAGTCTGTTTTGGGTCCATTATGTACGTTATTATTTATTGAATTGAATAATGTTTGGGTATGGATATGGTCTCGTCTGTTTTGGGTCCGCTATGTACGTTATTATTTATTGAATTGAATAATGTTTGAAAATTTCTTCTAGCCTGTTAATGTTGTTCAATGAAATTGCAATAAATATTAAAATTAAATATAAAATTAAATTAGGCATCGTCTAATTTTTGTTTTTGAACATGTATTTTAAATCTCAACTTTTACTTTTGGATAGTTGGTTTAGATCTATTGGCCACATCAGCAGGTTGCTTGGGTTGGACCCAAGCATTGTTCTTCAAAATTTACAAGATGTGAGATTATACAATTTGTAACTTACTGAATACCGTAATTTGCCTAGTATTTATTTATACACATCTATTTTACACCCGCCTACATAGATCGTCATAATCTATTCCTTAAAAGACTCAACATTCTCAACGGTCACACTTCTGGACGGGTTCGGACCCAAATCGGATAACATCGTACTAATTATGGCTAACTATGCCATCAGGTATTAATAGGGAAGAGAGAACTATCGAGCAAGCTAGCTATAAGTTGCACAATTCTATATTATTTGAGAAAAATGAATTTAGTATCATATTTATTAATTGGTACGAGACCTTTTGAATATAAAATCAAGAACAAAACCAAGGCTCTCTCCTTCATTATTTAGAAACTTGAGGAAGTAGCATTATTTATTGCTTCAATTTGAAATGCTGCCTCACTTCACCCACTTAGTATTTACTCAAACCAACAATTTTGGATACAAACCTTTTTTGCCACATGATTATGTTTGAGGACGGAAGAGATTCAAACCCTTTACTTTTTACTTAGAAAGTAAAAAAGAAAAAAAAAAACTTAATAGACCCTTTGTCTTTTATTTAGAAAATAGAGAAAAAAACTTGAACAATTCAAATTTTTTACCAATTTAATCTGGGTGTATTTATGCCCTTAATTTTAGACAATGATTTTCTATCTAACATGAATGTTGTGTCTAGTCAGCAAGCATGATAATTAAACAAATATTTTTTGCATGAATAAATGGATCTTTTTCGTTCCATCATTTAACTTGGTGTTAATTGGTAATCCACTCATTTTCTTATTTATTTATTTATTCATTTGTTATTTAAATGACGAACAGACTTCTATATGCTTAATTGGTTCTTCTATTTATGAAATTATCAGCTAGGGACACTAATGTAACTCAACTTATTAAGTGTGGAAATGCTCCATATATATATATATATATATATATATATATATCAATGTCCATATGGTTACAAGCTTCTTTTTAACTACCTTTTTATTGCAGTTCGAACTTATAAGGTCACATAACCATAAATAATAATGTTTGATCACATATATAAATATAGCTCTCTCCCCACCACTGCAACCCACACAAGACCACAATAAGAAATATATATATTATATATATAACAAGAACAAATGCAAATGACATAGCACTCAACCATGCATATACAGAAATTCCTTTCAAGTTTCAACATAATCACATTCTAGTTTAGTTCTATTGCTAATTTACACACACACTTGCTTAGGCCTTCTAATTTAAAATGTGAAAAAGTAAAACTGCACCATAGGCGCCATTGGTAGCCCCAAATTATATTGGGTCAGCCTTGACTCAATTAAGTTTTATATGCAAAATGTCTTGACTACTGACTTACCAGACATAGGACTTATTTAAACCTAAGTTGTTCGGACTTGAACTCATAGTGATCAAAATACACTTTGCTTTTTAATACTCGATAAAAACCATTTTTGACTACAAAATTTTTGTCACACAATTATATTTCTAGCACACCTTGACTGTCACATTTCAACTGCCCACATTTTTGACATTTAATATGAATCATATGAATGTTGTGTCATTCATTCAAGAAGCATGATGAAATAACCAAATATTTTTGCATGATATATTGATACATATACATATAAATATTCTTACAAATATATATTTTTTTGTAATCAATGTATACAATAATCAATGTATGTTCGTATAGTGTGGTTGAGATATTGGAAAAAACTAAAGTAAATATTCAAACGTGATTTGATGGGTTTGTGTCAACAATAATGCATGTTATCTTATTTGATTTTTTATAGGAATCACCTTAAAGATAATTAGGCAAATATTATCAAGCATACTTACCCTCAAATAACATACTCAGTAAGAAAAGTGATTTCAAGTCTTTATTTGATTTCCCACTTTTGGTGTCCATGTTGTCAATGATGACACTCGGAGTAATTCTCCGTCAGAAAATTTGATGTCTTTCCTTTCAAATATGTAAGATAAAAATATCTGATGTTCATGAATAAATATAGAGCAAAAAATACAAGTTTCCGAATTTTTAATCATTTGAATGGTTTGTTTTGAAAATTTTCGGGATTAATTTGAGATATTGGTAAACTTATATTCTTTCTTGTCACAAATTTAAAAATTAATTGTTATAGCAATTTTTATTTTTGGTTGTTTTCCAAATTTTCTCTTAGAAAGAGTCAAAACACTATCCTTCATTCACTCCATTATAATCGTATAGCATCCACATAAACAGCATTAACATTCCATCTTTACCTCATAATAATGGGATTTCCAATCACGTGTCCTCCATTTATTGGTTGAAGGCATTTACCTTTGCCACCATTGAAAGAAAAGGTGGAAATTCTTTAGACAAAACAAAGACCTTGTTTAATCTCACATCTTATGTCCCACATAGCCATAAAGAGCTAAAGCCTTTAATTTCTCATCATATTTTCCCTTTTTGATCCTAAGAAATAAACCAAGCTTGGGTTCTTTAATTTTTCATGAGCACTTAGAACAATTGGTTTGAATATTGGGATCTTTTTTTTTTTTTTTTTTTTTAATAAGAAAGGGGAAATGTCATTCACAGGGACTTTGGATAAATGCACAGCTTGTGATAAAACTGTTTATTTTGTTGATCTCTTGACTGCTGATGGAGTCACCTATCATAAAGCATGCTTCAAATGCAGCCATTGCAAAGGAACTCTTGTGGTATGTTTCTTCTCTCTGTGTTCACGAATTTGTAGTGATATTCTCGACGAAGAGTTTGAACGAAATGGGGAGCCAAATCCAAATGCTCCTCCTTCAATGGGTATATATATAACTGGCTCCATGGTATTTGCTTGACAGATGAGCAACTACTCCTCCATGGATGGAGTTCTCTACTGCAAACCTCATTTCGAGCAGCTTTTCAAGGAATCTGGCAATTTCAGCAAGAACTTTCAATCATGTGAGACCCTTATCAGATCATTCATTTTCGAGTTTGTTTGGATTTACTAAATTTAAATTTCCTCATCTTTGTTTCTGTTTTTTGTTTAACATTCTAGCGGGGAAGACTGACAGGCAACATTCATTGGTATGTTCATAATTTTACACACAACAAACTCACTATTTAGGAATTTAAGCTATGGAAGTTTTGATTTTATTTTTGTCATTTCTTGTTAGAGACCTGCTCAATAAGAAATATTAAATTTGATTTTTTTTTCTCTTCCCTTCTGCTTTGAAAATAGAAGGAAAGAACATTTCTGCTTTCAATGGATTCAATTTCCAAATGCATGCTTTGTGCTTTCTTTTAATCCTCTTTCCCCCCACTGGCATTGGTTAATGTTCGAATTTTGGTAATATTTTGCAGAGTAGGACCCCAAGCAAACTTTCTTCCATGTTCTCTGGAACCCAAGACAAATGTTCTGCCTGCAACAAAACAGTGTATCCTCTGGAGAAGGTTTGCAATTCTATAGCTTATATTGTTGTTATACATGTGTGTGTGTATATATATATATACACACAACGTACACACACACACGTACATACAAGAACACATGCCCCTGTTTGTTCATTGTCTTACCAATCCGATCTTAATCATTGATGTCTTTAATAGGTGAATATGGAGGGTGAATCATACCACAAGTCATGCTTCAAATGTGCTCATGGGGGTTGTCCCCTTACACATTCATCTTATGCTGCTTTTGATGGAATTCTTTACTGCAAGCATCATTTTGCTCAGCTCTTCATGGAGAGGGGGGACTACAGCCATGTCCTTAAGGCCGCCACTCAAAGAAAAAATGGTGTGACAGCGGCGGAACCAGAGGAAGAGCCCAAATCAGAACCAGACCAGACAGAAGAGCAGTCCTAAATACACAGCTTTGCTTCATATCTGAATTTACAGAATTTTCTATTCTCAGCAAACCCTCTTATCATGATGAAGTTTCATATTTGAGTGCTCACAATATATTTGGAGTTTGTAAACATATTCAAAAGGTTATGTATGATACACAAATGCATAAAGCTTAATGAAGTTTGTTTCTTCTTAATCAAGCTTGGCTTTAGTAATATTCTAATAAAAATAATAAATTGTAATTGTTGTATTAAAATAAAACTTGTTACAATGGATTCATCACTACAACAAGAAGAAGACTTTAAAAGGAGCATTGGGCATTTTACAAGGAAGTCGTGGTAAAAGGAGAAGCATTGACTATGGTTTTAGTATTAAGTTAATGGTTTGACAGACAATTACAAGGTTTTGTTTCACATAGTGATTACACACATTCACAAGGTTTTAATATTTACAACGTTCTTTTGATTAAAAAAAAAAAAAATGCTTTGGTCAATTGCTTATTCACGAGCACAACAAACAACAAATATATGCAATTCACATTAATACCAAAGTAAACAATTCTAAAATTTAGTTCAAAATCAATTCCAATGATCGAAAATCAATATCTCAAACTACCACCAAAAAAAAAAGAAAAAAAGAAAAGAAAAAGAAAAGCACTAAAATTAAGTCGAGTGATTCTGGAACTTATTAACTGATCTTTCTGTGATCCCAAACTTATTAACTGATCGTCATGTGATCCCAAAAATGATTGATCCTGTTCGTGAAAAAGGAATAAGAGAGTAATTAAACCAACCAGATATAATGCAACAAAAATATCTAAAGAAATTTTTCAACTTGATATAACATGTTACATGGTCAACATATATGTCTATAATGAACATATTACACTGCAACAGATTCCTCAATCACAAACTACAACAGAATTCACAAACAAGTAAAGCTACCTTAATTAATACTATAATCAACATATTAACACCCTCTACATAATTTTCTAGGAATGGTATCTGATCAATTCAATGGAAGAAGAATAACTTCTAATTTCAATTTTTTTTTTTTGAAAGGTTAATTTCAAATTATATATATATATATAGTGTGAAAATATACGGCCCAAAAAGGGAAATGGCCCAACACATAAGCCGAAAAGAAGCAAACATTTGCAGCCCACAAGTGACACTGCCCAAAAAACCCCAGAGAGACAACCAAATGGAGAGGCCTCCGGTGAAATCAAGGAGGTATCCTCCACCTGGAATTTCATACAACACCTGGAATTTCAACATGCAAGTAAACACATACAGGACCGAGCCAATGAAGGTCCCGTTAGGCGTCCTTTATAATATATGTAATAATTTTTTATAAATATGATTTTTTTTTTATATAAGTGCCCCTTAAATTTTGTAATTTCTAAAATTATCTCGATTAAATTTTCCTTCCTCAATTGAAACTCTTAACTTTTTCTTTTTAAAGTTCTTTAATTATTTTTTTTTTTCATTTTTTTATTCTTCTATTTCTATTTCTTAAAATTCTTCTTCTGAATGTTTCTTCTTCTGTATTTAATATTTAATATGTTTATATATATATATATTTGCACCATGGCCCCTAACTTGACTTAAAATCCTGGCTCGTCCCTGATCACTCAATCAGTTATTTCCAAACTATCTTAACCATATATACTGTTTCATGCACTCAACTGTTAATGAGAAAAGTGGAAAAAGAATATGCATTTGATGACAAGCTTGTTTTTGGAACATAGTTATATAATGGAGAAATTTAAGTTTATAGCCATTTTGTATCCCATGAAAATTGAATTCTATTGCAGTGTTTCTCTCTCTATATATTTATGTAGAGACCTATATATTCACTAAGAAGCTATTCACTTCTATTTAAATGATGGTACTATATTTAAAACATTGAAATCTATAGTTATGGCGGTTTTGTCCCAATTAGATTTGCTTTCTTAATTGTCCTTAAATCACAAGGTTCATTAACAGGAATTGCCGAGCAAATGCACTAGTTTTCACAAATTGTTGTCCCCCAAGGAGCTATTAGAACTCATTTTTTATTTATTTATTTATTTTTTATCATCTATTTGAAACTCACGCATCTCTGACAAGATTTGAACCCCCCTTTTACTTTCTACTATAGAAAGAGAGTAAGTATCACCAGACTGCAATATATTAGAATGGCATTACTTCCACTCATTCTTGTACTGTCATTCCGATATTGAACGAAGAAGAGGGCTTGATCACCCAAGCTACTCACCTCTTCCCATTTACTATTACTCCAATTCAACTTGAAAATCTCAAAGAAGTTGGTTTTATATGATGATTCATGGTCAAGCCTCCGCACAACCTGTAAACTATAATAATTCGTGTTAAGCCATTAATCACAAATTTACATCAATCCCATATCTTAGAACTTTATGATTTTCACATATCTATAATGCATAAATAAATAGTTAGATATAAATACCTCGATTCATGATATCAAACCTTATTGAGATTAAATCCAACGTCCAGATCCTTTGGTCACGAACTAATCTGCAACTCTGATCAACAGGTAAAGGTGGAAACTGGTTTCTCTCTCTTGGCCTTTTGTACACATAAAATTTTTACGTGTTGTATCATTAATTGTACATAATTAATGGAGTATATGCACTTTTATAAAGGCAGAGAGAGGACCAGTTTTCCTTTTAGTAATACAATTCTACTTTCCATCAAAGTAAAGAATAAGAAAGGAAAACGCTTTTCCAATAAGTAATTACCAAAAAGGTAATTATAAGTTGACCAAATAATATAATATTAATCTGATACCTATTTACTTAACCATTAAGTAATATGTCACATGTCCAAATCATATGGGCCACAATTAAATAAATAATCTTACATTCTCCCACTTGGCACATATGATAATTTCTGTAGTGGTTTAGTAAAATAGTCATTAATGTGCATCATAAATCAGATTAACTCATTAAATTAGTCATCATAAATACCATGGTAAATAAATTACCAATGCGAGTCATGGCGGTTATATATCCTTAAATGACATAGTCCCTTCCATGTACCATAACACTAGTAATCTATTCAACATAGTCTATAAATGAGAAGTATCAATAATGATCTAACAATAATGTCTTTTCCAAGACTATTCCTATTACCACTTATTAAAGCAATACGTACATGTACATTAATTAATAGGAAATATCAGAAACACATTTAATCAGCGCAAAATGTCAAATATATATAAGCACTATTTAAGCAATCCGCAATTAAAAAATAATCATCATTGACTACATTTAAGACTCATTCTTTCAACATGTTCCATAAATGTCTTGGATGGTAGTCCATTCATTAATGGATTGCAATCATAAGTTGTGTGCTTATAATTTCAATAGACATTCATTGTTTCTAAATATTTTCTTTAATAATAAAGTATTTTAACTTTAGAATACCTATCATTTTTCATACAAGAAGATCAACAATTGCAGCATAAATTTTCAGCAATTTGAAAACGGTACCCATAACTCCAAGTCCTGAAATAAATTCTGCAACCATAAATTATAGCCTCAAAGCATGCTACAAATTAAAATTTTATAATAGACAAAGTAATCATAAATTACTTTGCACTTTTTCATAATATTGTTCCTCCAACCAAATCTTCTAGAACTCTTTTAATATATGCTTTATGAGACAATTCTAAAAACAAATCAATGTGATCTATAATGAAATATTTCTATTCCTATCACATAGGATGCTTCATCCATATATTTCATTTCAAAGTTCTTAGAGATAACTTTTAGTTTCATATAATAAACTAAGATCACTACTAACAAATAAAATATCATCAATATATAGAATCAGAAATATAAACTTACTCCCACTAACCTTCTAGTATATACACTGATTAACAGTGTTTTTCTTAAAACCAAAAGAAATAATGGTATCATTAAACTTAATATACCATTGTTAAGAAGCTTGTTTAAATCCATATATTGACATCTTAAGTTTACGGACCATGAATTCTTTACCCTCTAATATAAAGTCTTCAAGTTGTTCCATATGGACTTCCTCTTATAAACTCATATTCATAAAAATTGTATTCACATCCATTTGATGTAACTCTAAATCATAATAAGCTACTAATGCCATGGTATTTTAAAAGATTCCTTCTTAAATACTAGAGAGAAGGTTTCTTTATAATCTCTTCATTTATGACACTAATCCATTTAGTAAAATCATTACTGTTAATGGCTTGTGAATATGTAACCGGATTCGTATATATCTCACTATATATCAAAATCAGATTCGTGCAGATATATCACATAATCATCCGGAATAGCAAATCTCATTTCTCTTTGAGATCGTCTTAATGTTATTCCTTATGATTCTTCTACAATCTATTCATTGGTGACAATCTCATTATAGAGTTGTTGATCATTTAATTGTTCTTCGTTGTTAAACGGTTCAACAACTGAAGGAACAATTATTTCCTTATAAGTTATGGGTAAAGATACTTGTACCCTAACTTCTGAAATGATCAAATTCTTATTTTTATCACTCCCACTGATTTCACCATTCTTAATGAATCTGACATTACCGGTTTCAATAATTATCGTACTATATCTCGGATAGTAAAACTTGTACCCTTTAGATTACTTAATATCCACAACATTATGGGTAACGAGGAATTACTTAACATACTCCTAACCAATTCCATAAGAGCACGATTACGCCTTACAGCTACACGCTTCTGCTGTGGCATGTATAGTAAAGTGTATTGAACACAAATGGCATACATTTCAAGGAGTTTAACAAACGGTTAGAGTATTAACCTGTTTCATCATACTTTACATAATATTCACTACCTCTATATGACCTTATGATTTTCACTTTCTATCTAGTTGTTTTTCAACCTCATTTATGTATACTTCAAGAGTACTCACTGCTTAAGATTTTTCATACAACAAATAGATATATCCATAACATGAAAAATTAACTATAAAGGCGATAAAATACTTTTCTCCTCCAAAAGATGGAACATCAGAAGGTCTACAAATAATTTCAAGAAGCTATGTACTTATTGTGGCTCATTTCTTTGTGCATTTAGTTTGTCTACCCTTAATACAATCTACACACACATCAAAATCAGTAAAGTTTAGATTCAGAAGAATCACATCCTTTACTAATTTT